CGCGAGGGAGATGCTGCCGGCTACATCCGCTTTGCCTCCGTTGAAGAGGCCAAGTATATTTTGGAGACGCTGAATGGCAACATCCCTCAGGGGCTGCAGCAGCTCGGTGGGTCAAGTATTTCTGATTTGCGACAGAACCAGGCAGACTGCGACAGTTCTAAATTCGGGTTCGGCTTTGACTTCATGTCGTCGGAAGTTGCCCGATGGCCAACCAGGGAACAACAGCACATTGCATTGTTCCACTCGCATACTTGCGATCATCAGCGGAGGACGCCGCTGTCCATCAAGTACGCCGGTGATAGGGCTGGCTCTGGTGGCGCAGACGGCACCGAAGAGGGCGACTGGCAGTGCGAACTTTGCTCCAACATGAACTTCCGCAGCTGCTTAGCCTGATTTCGGATCATTTACGGGCGCTGCTCGCTGCTTGTGAAAGATTCCCACCCCTCCGAAAATGAGGGGGACATCTGACCCCCCCTCTCGAAAAGAACTAAGAAGACCCTCTCACCCCCTGCGGCCAAAATGTAACCCTCACTTTTTTAGGTGGCAAATCCCAGAAAATGCAAATTACATATCCAGACTTTTCCCCCCCTCTAAAGGGGTGTACAAGTCTGTGTTTCAGCTTGCTCAAGGTTGGCCTTCCCTCAGCTCTTTGCAAAAGCTCAGTTTCTGACTGCCATCCTTGCCATCCTTGCCATCCTAGGAAGGGACTACTGCAACATTTGCACCAGTCCTCGGCCACCGCATTTGGCGCCTCCGCCAATGCCTGCCAAGGGCAAGGGCAAGGCCAAGGGCCCCGCCACCTGGCGGAATGGCATAGATGATTTTTCTGCGCCAGTGCGTTCCTGCGTTCCTTCTGTGATGATTGACTGCTGGCTGGTTGGTGTCGCAGAATGATGTATAAGGCTGCTGGGCTTGTTGGTGCCTTGTTGGTGTCACTTGCAGTTTTCCGGCTTCCTGTCTTGCGGTGTGGTGATCAGGGCGGGTCCGATCTGCCGCCCAACATCAACCTCTACGTCAGTGGGTTGCCTATAGGTGCCACCGAGGAGACTGTGAAAAGCTTCTTCATTCAGTATGGTGAGGTCTTTAATAGCAAGGTGCTGCCCGTCACAGCGGGCAAGAACACTGTAGCAGGCTCGGCCCAGAGCACCGAGTTGCACACATTTTCTGCCACAGAGCCACGAGCGGCGGTAAAATCTGGTTTGGGCAAGGATTTGTGCTTGGACATAGCTTCATCCTTCAGACAATTCATGTCTTCCCGACTGACACTTTCCTTTGCCCAGGGTTTGTGCAGGTTTTGTACGGATGGCCGAGTTCGAGGCCAAGTGGTGCCTCGAGAATCTCAACGGCTTCCAGCCCGAGGGCTTCAGCGTGCCCCTGCAAGTAGCCTTTGCCAAGGACAAGGTCGAGGATGGGAAGAAGGCGAGGAGGGGAGCCGAGAGGAGAAAAAGACGTTCGCCGTATGCGTCAGAAGTTAGCTCAGTCAGAGCTTGGAGAGCCATGGCAATGCGGGTATGTTCAAAGAGAATTGTCTAGTTTCAAGGATTGGTGTTGGCAGTTTTCAACGTGTTTCAACGTGTTTCAACGTGTTCCGGGGGAGGGGCAGTGATGGTTGATGTCAGAGCGTGCTGTTAAACGAAAGGTTCAGGAATGGCATGAAGAAGTGAACTGTCGGCAGGGCCCGATGGGCAAAGGTGGCGATGGCTACTCCAACGGCAGCAAAGGTGGCTTTATGGGAGACAGTAAAGGGTGGGGATCCAATGGAAAGGGTGAAGCCGGCGAAAAGGGCCCAAAGGGAGGCTTCGGTGACAAGGGCGGCTTTGCCGGCAAGGGCGGCTTCAGCGACAAGGGTGGCTGGGGTGACAAAGGAGGTGGCTTTGGCGACAAAGGCGGCTTCGGCAAGGGTGGCTTTGGTGACAAGGGCGGTGGCAAGGGCGGCTTTGGCGAGAAAGGCAGCAAGGGCGGCTTTGGCGAGAAAAGCGTCTTTGGCGACAAAGGTGGATGGGGCGAGAAAGGCGCGAAGGGCGACAAAGGCGGGTGGCAGGAGAAGGGTGCCTGGGGTGATGAGAAGGGTGCCTGGAGTGAGAAGGGGGACAAGGGCAAAGGAAAGGACAAGGGCAAAGGCAAGGACTCGTGGGGCTGGGCCCCAGCCTGGGATGCTTGGAGTGATTGGGGGGGCGGCTTCAAGGGCAAGGGCAAGAGACCCACGCCATATTAGATCATGATTGTGGCCCATGGGCCGTTCTTCAAACCTAATTCACACCTAAGATCAACAACACAGCTCCTCTTCACTGAAGCATTGTGGCGATCAGATTGGTCTTGTTGCTCACCTAAGACAATCAATGTTGACGACCACAATCACCTGGTGGTGTGCCACCTTTGCATTGTTCCCGTAGTTAGGTCAAATACGGAGGTGCTTAAGTTTCACCGAGCTGCGGCACAGTAGTTCGAGTCGGCGGAAGAGGTAAAGGCAGCTGCTGAGCTTCCTTGTTTTGCTGAAGAAGGAATGAATGCACATGGTTGCCGCTCAAGTTGAAGTCGCCTGGAAAGGGACGGATTGAATATCGTGGAACTATGGGTTGAAGATGGATTGCATCGATCATCACTCAGTTGTGAGCTTTACCATGTTGGTCAGAGTTGTCACAGTTGCAAGCATCATGCTTGCCTTAGCTGTTGCATACTCTCACTTTCTCTCTCTCTCTCTCTCTCTCTCAGAGCGGCAACCTGCATGTGATGCTGCAAACCATACTCCGAATCCTCTCGCAGACCATCAAGTGGCTTGCAGGGCCACTTCCAATAGGCTGTATTTTGGAAACACGATTGGTGCCAAGACGAACCAAAGAGGCTATCTTTGCGGACTCAACAGGTTTGGTAGGCGCGATAAACCCATTGCCATTTGCTACAAGTGTTGGCCTGGAGATCGAATCCGGTTCTGGACTGGTGGAGTGATCCATGGGCCGGTGCCGATGAAGAGGGTCCTGGAGCAGCTGCTGCTGCTGCTGCTGCTGCTGAACACTGCGCAGGTACGCCGAAACTCCTCCAAGCTTAGGATGTTGAACATCAGTGCGGCGGGGATCAATACGTGCTCTTGTTCGTGGGAATGGTTCGCGTGATGAAGCTTCATATCTTGCCATCACGGGCAGCAATGCTGCCTTGTCATCAATTGTGCAGGAGTCTGTATCAAACACATTTTCAACTTGGAGTTTGGTCAATGTGGGCAACTTGCCACCACACGTTCTCTGCGCAGGGGGCGCACTTGCCATTTGCGTCAGGCGCTGCTGCCTCTGCCGCGTCGCAGCTTGGCCTTAGGCCCGTTCCTGCTGGCACCGTCGCGACCCTCGCCTGCGCGCAGCGAAGAGGTGGAGTCTGCCGGAGGCGGGAGGTGGACTCGGCTCGTACGGACATGGGGCTCCAGCAAAACACGTGCTCTCAAACTCTTTAAAGGCATTTTCGACAGGGTTTCGCAATATGTTCATCCATGCTTTCTTGTCGCTACCTGACTCTCTTCCAAAGCTGGATTGTCCCAAAATATTAGAAACAAATTTAGCCTCTGGATCGCATGCACAGAATGCTTCTGGCAGGAAGCGTGGACTCGCCCTGGAACAAGCCTCGGAAATACAGCGCTCAAGTGCTAGACAATGGCTTGCGGGTGGCCTGGCTTGATGACGAAAGTCTCATGGAGCAGTCCTTGTGCGACCCACCAGGTACTTCCGTCTCTTTGCTGCTGGCTTTTGGCACCTAGTTGATTGGCTCCTGGTCGCATGCTTGTGTTGTTTATACATCTCAACATGCAAGCTGTGTGTGCAATGATAGTGCCTGGTATGCTGTAGTGCAAGTGTGCCACCAAATCTGTCAAACCAGGCAAACGGAGCCGGTCACCATGTTCTGTCTTATCAACCAGACACAGTGACCTCAACCTTAGTTTCATCTCAAGCTAGGAGTTTCCCCAAGAAAACAATGGGTCTGATGACTTGAGTGCCTGAGCCGCTGGTCCGCTTGGCTGGTGCAGTTTCCCCATGACGCTTTTCGCCCGAGACATGAAGCCTTAGCAGAACCACACAATTGCTGGAAGTAGGAGTTCCCATCATCAAGTACCTATGCGGAAACACAACAAAACTCGAGCTACGTTCTCATTTTGACGGTACCTAAGGTGCTGCTGGTGGAGGATAGGGCGGCTGAGCAGATGGATATAGCCTTTACTGCTGGCTTTGGCCAGTTTGATGATCCAAAGGAGTGAGGGCGAGGGAGCGAGGGGACATGATCCCCTGAACCCATTCACTTGTTTGGTCCAGATGCTTTTTTCATTTCATGCAGGTCTTCCAAAAGCAGGAGCGCTTAAGCTGCGATGCCACCATAAGTGCAACTTGTCACGAAAGCTAGCTTTAGCTAGCTGAAGTTTCTCCTTGCGTAAGCAAGGTAAGGGGCTCAAATGCCGAAAGATTGATTTTTTCAATTATTTGAGCCGAAAAGATTGAAAAACATCAATTATTTAGACCCCCCCCCCCCCGGGTCTCAGGCTCGATTCCTCCCTGGTCCATCCCCCCCCCCCCGGGCAGTGGCTCAGTGTTCAGCAGTCTCTGTTTGCCCGTTTTGGACTTGGTGCTACGAACTTTTACATGTTCCACCGATTCAGCTTGTTCATTTGAGACCGCAGTCTTCTCAGTAAACCACCTCGCAAGAATCTTTGCACACGCAGCATGCAGAACCCAGAGGTGCTTTAAGGCAGCTTCTGACGCCTCTCGTTGTTTTCATTTTTCAAGGTTTGCCACGCCACCATGTGCGTTCGCGTGTCGAATCTTGCCGGGCCTCTCGTTGTACACAAGCTACCCATGAATCCACTCTGTCACCAACCCATCTCATGCAACAACTGCTAGCTTTCGTTCACCTGCTCCTCAAGTATAAGCGAAGTCAACGTGCAACCACATGTAACCTTCCACAGATTGTACTTTTCATAAAGGCAAGCACCTACTCACAGCTGTGGTACTTGCTTCTGAAAATTGTTTTCTGTTGTGGAATGCTGTTCTGCTGCTCGCTACGCCCCCTCTGCAGTGCTGCTTCAAGCTGTGCTCAGCTGTATTCATTGAACCCCAAGCTCCTGCATTGGGGAGGGCAATGGAGGTTGCTTTTCTTTTTGCTTCCCAGCAGATTACAGATTTCAGCATACGAATGCGCACCTATTTAGCCTCTTTTCTATGATTCCCGATTCCACATAAATTGCTTCTGTGCATTGCTGGTTGCCTGGACCGGACATGTGTGGTAGGCTTCAAGCCGCTGGCCGGGATACGCTGCGAGCCACCTGTTCTTGTGCTTCTTCCTGTGCTTCCACTCTGAGTAACGTGCCTTCCCTTCTGGACCTAGCTCTGATCGGCTTGTCTCTAAATCGGGTTTTCCTTCAGGACCTGCCAGGGTTGGCGCATTTGACGGAGCATCTGCTGCTGGGCGGGCCAGGGCCAGCGAACTCCGCACCGCTGGAACAATGGCTGGAGACGTGTCTGGACTCAACTACTCGACTGGACGAAAGAACGAAACAACGAAGGGAAGTTGAGAAGGCTCGACCGTGATATTCAATTGGACTTGAGAAGAGACTTCAAAGTTGAGAACAAGAGAAGGCAGTGAGAGCTATTGTGCGATTGGGCCGGATGTCGGAGATGTGAGTGCATTCAATTTTTCAACATTTGCACCTCGAGTTGGGGAGAGTTTGCAAAAGCAAGGACTACCTGAGCAACAATGTAAAAGGAGACTGGAGTGGGAGTGTTGTCACCATACGGGCATCACATGCCACATGACCCCTTCGACTCGCCGTCTTTGTCTCACTAGTGGCTTTGGCCTTTCAGGCGGGAAGGCGAATCCAACGGCTTGACGGGATTCGAGTCAGCGCTCTTCACAGTGTCCTGCGATGCGGAGGAGGGGAGTTCATATTCATCAGACTGGGACCAGAGGTGGCAACGGCCAGCCGAATTTCTGAATGGTTTGGTTCAATGACCAGGCGACCAGCTTTTCTTTATTATGATTAGGATGTTCAATCCTGCTTTGGTGGATAGGACAAAAAAAAGAGAGGGTGTGATACAGTCTCGCAGGGGAAGCGGATGCCGTTTTTCTGTCTACAATCAAGGATCTGCAGTTTCGGTGGAAGTCCAGCATTCCACTCTTCACGATTGCAGTCGATTTCTTTGCTGTCATTGCAACAGGAGATAAAACTTACTATGGCCCAAATCTGGAAGGATCGCTTTTGGGCATTTGCTCGCTCGTGGCACCCCTGGTCATGGCGTCTCCGAAGCTGGCGGACCTGTTCCGCTTTTCTTTGATCTCCTTGATGCGAAAAGCAGCTTTCACTACATCGTGCCTGTACATATCTGCCAGCTGTGCTCCCTTAACAATCCAAGATTCTGCCTCCAAGGAATGACTCAAAGCTCACCAGCCAAGAGGGACTGGGCCGATGCCAAGAGGGGCACTATTCTTTGGCAGGACTGGGCCGATGCTTTGCAGCGCTTTGGCCACTGCTTCCGCGCGAGCACTGATTCCGACCCGCGCTTCACAGCGGAGGCGGTGGAGCGGGAGGTGCTGCGCATTGACTCCGAGTTCCAGGAGAGCGAGCCGTGTGAGCTGTGGCCTAATTGTAAACTGCGATTTCGACGTTGAAACTGAGATGGTTCTGCTCCAGCTAGTCAATGGAGTTGATGAATATGTTTCAGTACTTCAGGAGCTAGCATGTGTAGAATGTTGATACCCCGGAGATGACATGCTTTTAAAGACGGAAAGAATGACGGCATAAATGCGCACCGCACCTTTGGGCATATATCATATATGAATGGAGAAAGCCGCCAGTCTCGAGTACTTTGACGCGAGACGTGGTGTATGCAGCCAGAGTGTTGCGGAGCTTTGTAAGCAGCAGTGTCCTGGTACCCAAGAGGCCCTGAGTAGAGAACTCGCAAGCCACCGCACTGTGAAAAAACCCATCACTCGTTACCTCGTTACACTTGTCCCGTTGGTCAAGAGGGATATGGCGTCGAAGGCTCGACGGACGGCGCCTCCCAATTGTTCGCAGGATGGGCTGTCTCCGGCGCTGCGGCAGCTTGCTGTGAGAATGGGGTTGGGGAAATTTTGTTGACGCATTTGCTTGTTTGAGGAAGCAAGAAGTAAGCAGCACAACCAGGAATCTGGAATCGGCACACCTTGAATGGGGCACAGTTGGGCACGAGCATTCAGGATAGTTTCGGGGGCGAGACTGGATCAGAGTGGTTGGATTGCTTCTGCAGGATTTCTGGCAGGCATGTGTTCTTCCTGGCAACATGCCGCAGCGGTACAGTACAGATATAGACACTTTTCAGAAAGGGCCTCTACAGGCCTGTGGGCCTTGCTGACAATTTGCCAATCTAGGGTTCTTAGTCATATTCAACCATCCCTACATGGGTGGACCCGTACAGCTGGCTCATTCTTGACATAACGTTTCGGTTGTAATGTGTTCAAAGAACACTCTATTTCCCCAGATAGCTGAAAGCTATGAGGGTTCTAACTTCAAAGTTTTTGAGGGGAAAGTGATTTGCGAGATTGACTGCAGGGTGCTAGGGGGCATGTAGTTTGGGGTGCTGTTTGAGGTGCTGGTGGCGGTGCGGGCATTTTTGCGAGGTGCTAGGGGGCATGCAGTTTGGGATGCTGGTGCAGGTGCTGTTTGAAGTGGTGGTGTGGGCGCATTGTTGCGAGATTGACGGCCAGGTGCTGAAACACATGCAGTTTGGGGTGCTGGTGCAGGTGCTGCTTTGTGGTGCTGTGGGGTGCTGGCGCAGGTGCTGTTGGAGGCGCTGATGACGGTGTGGCTGCATTCTTGTGGGTGTGGCTGCATTCTTGTGACGGCAGGGTGCAGTTTGAGGTGCTGATGCAGGTGCTGTTTCGGGGTACTTTGAGGGCGCATTCTGTCGAGCTTGGCGGCCGGCTGCTAGGGGGTGCTGACCTGTGGTTGTGGTATCATCATGATGCTGACCGCCTAATCATGATGTTGTTGAACCCATTAGGACGTCGTCGTAATGTTTCGTGGCTGGTGTAACATCATGATGGCGCCAACCGTACATGATGCTGCTGGAGTCATTTCGATGCCGCGTCGCCGGCCATATAGCGCCATGATTCTGTCAACATCATAACGACGATGCTGCATTTTGTTCCATGTTTGAGCTTGGCAGGCTCCCGCTTTTCCCGGAACGGCCCGCACGCCTGCGATGGCCAACGCTATCAGGTAGGTGTGCAGCCTGGCAAGGTACCCCTGGACATCCTCCAGCGCGTCAGCAAATTTTCGCCAACCTTCTGACGCTTCCGGTTAGATGTGACTTGATACATCAAAGTCTTCACCAACCACAAGTTGGGACTGACTCGCAAGATATAGGAGCGCTTGATGTGTGCCATCCTAAGACAACCCATACCCTGCACCCAGTGTCCCAGCAGCCCTGCCCAAGCGGGATTCCTTGCTCTGCAGGCAGCCATCACCGCGCGCTCAAGCGCGCTCAGCATAAGAGGCTCCAGTACCGGGGCCTGCTTTGAGTTGTCCCCTATGGCAGGCTTGGGTCGCAGCGCGGCTGGGGGCAACACCGCATCCATGTACAATAGGATGAGGAGATTCTTTTGCAGCCACTTCAACGAATATAGCAGGGCTTTGTGTCCGTGTACAAAACCTTCCACTGTTGCAGCTTCCAACGCGGAAAAGGGCCTCTTGGTGTCCTGCAAGAAAACGGTGAGCTCATCCCGCGTCATCACAGCACGGGCCACGGTTGCGAACTTCGAGACTTTGTGCACTTGCTGGGCTTGCCGCTGCACCGCCTGCTGCTGCTCATGGAAGGCTGCAAGCCTTGCGCAGCGTGCAGGATCTATGCCAGGTGCTCCACCTAGGTCCTCCCCCGGGCCTCAGCCACCTGAGCGGGAAGGCGGGGTTTTTGGGCAGCCGCGGCTCCAGCAAAACGTCAGCAGGCCCGCGCCAAGTCCTGGAATTCGGAATGCCTGAAGCCAGCTGTAAGCCAACCATTCCCCGAACTGCTGGGCTTGGGACACATCTGTGAACGCGAAGGCAAAGCCGCCACCTTTGATGGGGCCCTACAGACAGGCTCATCCCAACAGCGCGTCAGCGGAGACGGATCGCCTCCTCAGACTGCCGCACACTGCTGGCATCGCCGGAAATCATCCTTGCACTCCCCACAAAGGGGCTGGACGGCGCACCATGAACAGGGGGGCATAGGGGCAAACCATCCCTGTGCCACCCCAAAGGCTGGATGCGGCTCGGCATCGGTCACGCTCGCACCATGGTGGGTTTTTGCAGACCCGCCGGCCACGGAGCCACCTGGCCCACTCCGCGAAGATGTGGCAGCGCGAAACCATCCGTCGTCGACGTCAAGGACTCCATCAAGGAAGGCCGACTCCCTCTACGGCAATCCCGCTTCCAAGCCGAGACTCCGCCCCTCCAACGGAACCACCACCCCAGCCACCGTCCACAGTGCGCCCCTGAGCGCAGTGCTGGCAGTGAACATCGGTGCACGGGGCCTCCAGGAGCGGGACACCGTGGACCACAGCTGGGACGGACTCATAGGGCACGTGCAACACCAGTTGGACACGTGCTCCATGGCAGACGAACGTGGCATCCCTGCCATGGCCTCCAGAAACAACATGAGGTTCCTTGGCGTATCCACCTCCACCGTAGCCCAACCTGGCAAGCGAATGGCATGGCCTAGCATGGACCAGGGGCTACAAAAGCACCGAAAAAGAAGTTAGCTCTGGCTCTTGAGCCAAAATGGCCCCCGTGCGAAGGTCCATTGTGGCAAGAGCCTGTTCCCTCCCTCAATGGACCCATGCCACCCAAAGGGATCTTGGGGCTGACAGCACGAAGGTGGTGCAGATACTACTCAAAATTGCGATCCTACTAAAAACAGCAGGCGGCCTTGCAATGGTTGGTGCAGCAGGACACTCGGTAGAGGCATGTGGAAAACATCATACGGGAGACCAGCAGTTGAGGGATGCTCATTGGCTCTGCGATGCCGGCCCCTTTTCCCCGGCCCCAAACAGGGTACAAGGGGGCCTAAGGAGCGTCTATCTGGGTCCAGTCCAAGTCCGACGCGATATCTTAGGGACCACTGACCCATGGGCCAAGGAGCACCTCTTCCACGTTCGGCAGCAGTTCTTGGCAGGAGTTATGGTCTCTTCATCTCAGGGCATGTATCCGTGTGTTCAGCTGTTTCTAAGTTTGGAGTCCATTAGAGTGGATCGCTGAAAAGTCCGGCGGCCTTGCTGTGGAATCAAGTGCGTTGGGGCTGATAGCTGGGGACCCAGCTGGAGACTACGGCTTCCCAGTAGCATGGCTGGGAGCGGTCAAGCACAGCTCTGAAAAGCCAAAACATGTGACCTGGGACCTGTGCTCAGTCAGGGAGGGGCAGGGGCTGATAGCTGACCCAGCTCAGGACCACTGCTTCCCAGTAGCATGGCTGGGAGCAGTGGTCAACCAATGACACCAATATTCGAGCACAGCCCTTCGGACCTTGCCCTAAAGGAAAAGGGGTGTGTGCTCAGGCTTTCGCTGTTTCCCTCTCCCTGAATCTGCAATGTCGCAAGATGATTCGTGGCTGTGTCATCATCGCTGGCTGCATCATCTTGATGCTGATCGCACCCTCATGATGCTGTCGAACTCACCAGGACGGCCTATCTGCCTTAAATGTAGCACGGCTAGCGCGTAAAGGTTCGTGGCTGGTGTACCAGCAGGATGCTGTCAGCATCATCATGTCAGACACGGTGTTGGCAAAGAAGACTGGAGTTATTGGGTCATCCTTGTAGCTGTCACAATTTGTGAAGCAACAACATGGTATGGGAACTTCACAAAAAGGCAACTATTTTTGAGATTGTGCTGATCAACCCGTAACGCCACAGATTAGTCCCACCAGAGGTTTATGTTTTGCAAGAAATGTTTCCTTTGTTTTTTGCTTTCCGCCTTTTGGGTGGAGGAACCTGCAGTTGCTGCGGCGCCGCAGCCAGGCCGCGCACCCGCTGCGGGCCTTTGGGCCTGGCAGCTTGACGCCCGGCGAGCGGATCGACAGCTAAAGAATCGATGTTTTTTCCCTCACAAGTCTTATCATTTGTATTTTTTGTTGGGCACTACTTTTTGAGTTGTTGCGTTGCCTTGATGGACCAGCTTTTGCAAAACACCCATCGTATTTCCTGCCATTCACGTCTTCGCAGCGCTGCTCGGTCTCTATGGCTGTCTCTGTCCAAGTTCGCAGAGTAAGACTTGAGTGTTTCCAGTCTCCGCACCTCCTCGCTCATGCGTCCCGACTTGCTTAGTTCAAAATCAATGTGCCTTGAGACTAAAGTATGTGTGTGCCTGGTACATAGAAAGGATGCGTGGCGTCTCCGCTGCCTCAAGCCAGCTCATTTGGGCGCTTTCAGCCGAAGAGCTTTCCAGTGCGCGACACTGAACCGCAGGACTGTTGCAATTCTTGCCACACTGCGATACAAAGTCAACTGAGATGGGCTCGCTGAGCGCCAAGCTCTGCCGTCCAGCCAAGGAAAACCTTGCTGCCACATGGTCGGAGGAAAGAGCACCTGGAGCGATTAGCAGCATTGAGCAAAGAGCTGCCTGCCGTACGTGGTTTGTTTTTGGGGTCGGGGGAGGGGGGCGCGGGTTAAGGGATTTGAGCCAGGATGCGTTGGGAAGCGTGGGAAGGAGTTGTTGGGTGTCACAAGGCCCTCACAACAGTTGCATGAAGTCTGCCCTGTGATAGAGCGATGTGAGCACTATGGCCAATTCTCACACGAGCAAGTGCGATTGAATGGGCAGTCTTCAGAGTTGGCTGGACCTCACAACGTTTCGTAGTTGTGCATACGCCAGGTATAATTTGGTCTATCGGTGCATCTTGAATTCCGTGACACTACTGATAACATTTCATCGTTGCCGGCTGCCCTTAGGCTTTTCGACCGCACGGGCGCGCCCTTGGCCACTCTCAGCGTGGTGTGTGCGAAGCCCTTGCCGCAGCTGGCGGCGCAGGTGGACATTTGCCACATCTTTCAATGGCCATGCTTTCCCAATTTTTTGACTTCGGAGAAGGAGCTTTCGCTTCGCTTCTTTTGTCAAAAGGAGTTCGCCCTTCAGAGCTCCGTCGGTGCCCAGGTGGCCGCAGCCTTTGGCGGCCTCGCCGCGCCCAGTGCGGCCCTGGAGCGCTGCTTGCAACGTCAAGGGCCTTGGGGTTGGGGTCGCCCATGAAGTCCTCTAAGGCTTTAGGAAGCTATTTGCGAGGGAAAATGGTTTTCCGGATGCACCGTTTTGATATGGTGGGCATTTGGCCTGAATGACATTGGTATCAGTTGTGGCCCTGCGGCCCTCGGGCACCATTGCATCGGCCTCAACATTCTCTACTGGTCTGAGCTTCATCAGGGATGCACTCAGTTTGATTCTGAAAGCGAGTGTATACTCAAGGATCAAGTGGTAGGTGCTACCAGTGCCAAACAGCCATAGTATGTAGACACACTCGACAAAATCAATAATGATAATTTTGCAAAACTATAGTCTGATTCAAGGCATGCACACTGCAGTTCGCGTTGTGCTGTAAAGCACAGTTAGACATCGCTTTTTCATTTCGCTTTGGTTGCACAACTGCCCCATCTCTCAGGCAGCGAACCCGGAAAAGCCGCATGTTGCATGACATGACGAGTTCGCCTTTCATTTTAAAGGCAGAAAGGAGCAGGCTTCCACATGTCACCCCAAGTTTACCCGCCACCAATCCGAGCGGCTTTGAGCCTTCACATTTCGAGCGCTGTTTTGTTGCCTTCTCAGCTGGGTAAAAGATTCCGTCCGTGACCTACGCGTGAGGTGAAGCAGCACGCGCGGATCCATTGCCCGCTGCTGGTGGGCTCCCGGTCTTTGTCATTGACACGCCAGAGACACCCGCGCTCAGCTTCACGTGGAGCATTCCTTTTGGTCAAGACTTGGACCTTGTGGCTTTCAGAGCTTCGAAGCCCCTGGCCGCTTGGCTTTAGGAGTGTTGAGTGTATTTAATGCAACATTGCCGGCTAGCTTTCAGGAAACCGGCCTATTTCAGGCTTGTGCGGGAGCAACCAATCAATCAATCTGGCTAACGCCGCATGGATTCGGCTGACTATTTCAGATAGCCCAAAGGGCCCAAAGGGTAACCTAAGATGTAGCCGCATTTCCCTCAATTGCTTGCTGCCAGCATGCAAACATTCTTCCCATATCATTCCAGGTAGAAGGGCTTATTTGACTTGTTCCATCGTTTCTCCTTCAAATGTTTTTTGCTGCGATTGTCATTCCCCAGATAGCTGAAAGCTATAGAGGTTCTAACTTCTAATAAAGAGGGGGAAGTGATTTGCGAGATTGATGGGCTGGTGCTAAGGGGCGTGCAGTTTGGGGTGCTGGTTTTTGCGGATTGGGGTGCTGTTTGAGGTGCTGATGGCTCTTTTCAAGATTGACGGTAGGGTGCTAGGGGGCATGCAGTTTGGGGGTGCTGGTGCAGGTGCTGTTTTGGGGGTGACGGTGTTTTTGCATCTTGACGGTAGGGTGCACGGGAGCATGCAGTTTGGGGTGCTGGTGCTGGTGGTGTTTTGGGATGCTGTTTGGGGAGCTGTTTGAGGTGCTGGTGACGGTGCGGGCGCAATTTGCGATATTGACGTCCGGGTGCTATCGGGCATGCAGGTGACGGTGCAGGCACATTTTTGCATCTTGACGGTAGGGTGCAAGGGGGCATGCAGCTTGGGGTGCTGGTGCAGGTGGCGTTTTGGGATCCTGTTTGGGGTGCGGCTGGGTGTTTGGGGGGGTGCTGTTTGGGGCGCTCTTAGGGCGACGGTGCAGGCGCATTTTTGGGAGATTGACGGCAGGGTGCAGGGTGCATGCAGTTTGGGGTGCTGCTGCAGGTGCTGTTTTGGGATGCTGTTTGGGGTGCTGCTGGAGGTGCTAGTGATGGCGCGGGTGCTCGATTGACGGCCGGGTGCTGTTTGGGACGCTCTTCGGGGGGTGCTGTTGGAGGTGCTGGTGTGCAATCATTGCTATCTGGGGTCTATGCTGGTGTAATTTTATTTTGTTGGACAACTCAAGGTGTGTTTGACTGTTTTCGTTGCACAGATGGTGGAGTTCAGGCTCCATGCCCCCTTCTGGATATATACATATATATATATATGTAATGGTGTACAACAACGGATGATGAGCACTAGGACCGCCGACGTTATAGGCCTGCTTTGGTATATGTGTCTTACAGGTACAGTGCTTGGTTGGTGGGTGGGTGGGTGGGCGGGCGGGTGGGTTGCTTGGCTGCTTGGTTGCTTGCTTGCTTGCTTATGAGTTGAAACTTCATTACCAGACTCTTGTTCTCTTCGTAAGTCAAGTCAGGACCAGTGACAACTCGTAGCGTAGATTCACAGTACTCGAGCATGGGCCCAGTACAGACGTCTTTTAGCTCCAATCTGCTGCTTGTTGGGTGCTCGGGTACCACGGGCACTCAGAGCCTGTTTGCAGGTGGTCCTGTCCCACCTGGTGGCACACCAGGGCCCCGGCTCCTTGTCCTCGTGGCTGCGGCAACAGGGCTTCGTCCCTGACAATCTTGGGCCGAAGGTGGGGAGCGGAATGTTGTTAACAGAGGTTAGATCAGGGGAAGCAGAGGTTGGCTCAGTTATTTTAAGCATATGCAAAGCACGTTTCATCAAAGAACTTGTCGGTCTCAGCCACGCAGCTGCAGCCGCAGCCAATCAAGGCCGTGTCCCAACAATTGTTTTCCATCGTTTTTTGGCATGGTCGCAAGTATGAAGTCCTGAGCACGACGGCGATGTGCAAAAAACACCAGCCTCTCACGTTGCCAAGCACCGAAGACCTGATGTATGACGGTTGGGCCGTTACCATTCCTGAGACCGATGCTTTGGTGCTGCAAGGCACCAGTGCTTGGTGGGCCGCCTGGAGATGTGCAACCTCTGTGATCCTGTGCAACCCAGCTGCCCTTGGGCATGGTATCCTGCTGGCCTGCTGTTCGGACGCGGCGTCCGCAGAAGAGCTAGCACGAGATATCACAAACAGAGCAGGTCGGTTTTTGGACGATCACAGCCTCTACTTGCTCCTTCGGAGCCGGCCGGAGCTTTTGATTCAAACCGAGCAGCAAGCTGGGAAGATTGCAGCACTCATTTCCTTTGTCTGCAAACATCGCATGCAGATCTCCAAGATGTCCAACGAAGAGATTTGGCAGCAGGTGTGCGTTGAGGACACCGTGGTTTGCCCCATTTGCTGCGAGGACTTGAACTTGGGTAAGGCGGTGATGCGCTGCTGCGGGAAGGGCGGCTGCAGGCAGTACTTCCATTTGGACTGCGGTGAGCATTGGATGAAGGCTGCACAGGATCTTGGACAGAGTCCATCCTGCCCAGTATGTCGCAGCCCGTGGCAAGCCCAGGAAGAAGCCGACCCTATGGAGGCATGGTTCGATGAAATCAAGAGAACCCACTGGAAGCACATGTCCTTGGCCGAGAAGACTAGATTTGCTGCTAGCTCAGTGGTTCATGCGCTCTACAAGCCGGGTTTGGCACGTCCCTCACCGACACGATCATCAACTCGCTGAGCTGGCTGGCGCAGGTGCAGCCATCGTTGGCCGTTGTGTGTGGGAGATGTCTTGGCCTGAACTTCAAAGACATGAATTAGCCAAGAAGGAACTGGCTAGAACCAGAAGGCTCTGAGCATAGATGAGTCAATGAGTATTTTGCTCATCAAAGGTCGATGGCTAGTTTTCTATGCGTGCCGCGTCCCGCCGCCAAAGTGCGTGGATCATTCTGTCGGAATGGTTCCGTCTGGGCCAGTATGCTGTTTGGTGCATCAGGTTAAGGCCACTGGCACGTCTGTCACTTGTCAGCGCCCCAGCTGATGGGCTGGAGACAGAATTTTTCTTTAATTGGTGCGGCATTGGTGCGTCACAGAGCCTTGGCGACCTTCAAGGTTTGCTTGTGAGAAAGAGCGAGAGCGAGAGAGAGGGAGAGAGAGAGAGAGAGAGAAAAAAAAACACAAAGGTACACACAAACATTTGTTCCACCCTACTTCATGTGTCAACTGCGGTTTGTGGCAGGTCTCCGCTCAGACACCCTTCAGCACCGATGGCTTCGCCATTTGGGAGCTGAAGATCAAGCTCTCCCCGCAACTGGGCTGATCCATTTATTTGCTTGGCAAAGTTCACCGCATTCTAGGAGGATCCATGGCTAAAGTTGTTTCCAAATCAGATTGTTCACACGTCCAGTGCTGGAGAAGATTTGCAATGGAGTCCCTGTTAAAACTGAACCTGGAGAAGCTGACGCATGGCATAAGCGGCCCAGAGCTTCGAAGATAAAAGATCCGGGCGCTGATCACTGCCAAGGAGTTCACCGTTGCTAGCTCGCACGCTGTTGGGTACGGGCTGCAAACCGACTGGCCCCTGCCATGCTCTCCCGCTGTGGTGGCGAGACTGCTGCGCCCACGGAGAAGAAGCTCAACAGAGACTCGCTCGCTCGACGCCCGAACGGCCGCAGGATGCTGAGAGCCATCGCTGTTTCCGGAAGGAGACAGGAAACCTAGGCACACCTGGAGACTAGGGGACGTTATGCAGCAAAGCGTGATTCATGACTATGTGGGGGGTGGTGCCTTGAGTGGGCTTGTCCGCGCTGCGGGGGGTGCGTCCCATCTACAAGAGGCAGGCACTCAACCTCAACCAGGCTCACACTGCCGAGTTCTTTCTGGCGCTAGGGGTCGTCTTACGACGTACGCGCCTTCGATGCTCTGGGCTCCAGGTTGACTTGATTCGGGAGAGCGCGACTGAGAAGACATGGTTGCACTCGCCCTGCGCAAGCTGCATTCTCGAAGAAGGTGCGGATAATTTTGCAGGCACAGAAGGTATGACGGTCTGGCCTAAGGAGAAGCAGACCGCGTCAGACATAGTGGTGCTGTCTCCAACTGTGCGCAGTGGGTACATCACGAGAAACAATCAGCCCAGTCATCGTGAGCGGGGGGGGTTGAGGACAAACTGAGCAACAGCCCAGAGAATATTCCAAAATATGCCAAAGGGCATGCCGGTCTTGTTGTTTTTCGCAAGGCGCTGGACAAACCCACGGACTTCGAAAAGGCAGCGATGGGGAGTATTGAGACTCGAGCCGTTCGGATTTTTGGCACCTCTTTGACAGCTGCCTATCCCCAAATGGCCCAATTTGATAGGATGAGCAACATCCGCAAAGTGTTTGTCTGGCTCATCGTCCGGCTGGTTGAGGCTGGAAACCAACATGCTAATTGCGTTCTAGGCGCAAAACAGAGAAGGCCATGGAAAAAAAGTCTCGAAAACCAGCTCACTGCAGGAAGGGCCTCAGCAACTGGCGTGCCATCGTCACTGCCGTCTTTGGGCTCCTTGCGGCGCTGCGGCGCCGCTACGTCCAGGATGCGCTGGGTGGTCCCCGTCGGGATGCACTGCGGGAAGCGGCAGACGAGGCAGGTCTGGGCATTGGTCTCCCCAAGCTTCGGGAAGCTCGTTCTGACATCAAGGACGGTCTTGGCCCCAAAGGACTCATGTGCAGAATCTGTATCCCTTGGAACAGGTCTCCGTCGTTAAAGTTTTTTTCAGACTGAAAGGCAGGCTTTTGTGTTTGATTCCTTGTTTTGCATCACAGCCAGGCATGTTTGAGGCGTCAACGTGCTATGGGTTTTGGCATGAGAGTCATTAGCACAAATTCAAGAACCATCAATACGGCTGCCGCATTGTCCGCACTTGGACGTTCTCAGAAGGACAATGCGCACAGCACATGCGCCGTGCAACACGAAGGTGTCAGATTTGGCAGACATCGCATGGCGCTTCCCGCCGCGGCCACCACTAGCCAGCGAGCTCGCGCTGAACATGCGCACGGCGCCACGACCTGCTGCGTATGTCTTTGCTTCTCGTCGCTTTTTCTCTGCTGGCATCTTGGAAGAATTTGGCGCCTGAGAGATTGATTGCTTTCCTGTATCCAGAGTGTTTGCAGGGAAGTTGAAGACTTATTTCGAACTCCTTCATTTGCAAGCCTAGATCAAATTCAGAATTATGGCGGAGGCTATTATTTTTCTACTTGCAGGGCTGCAGAGCTGGTGTACATCATTCTAGATCGTTCGAGCGCAAGCTGCACGCTTTGCAAAGGCTCAAGCAGGATAGCCTTTGGCGTTTGCAGGGTGCTGGCTCCTATTTTGGAGGCACAGCCAAGAGCCCTCCCCTGTCCGGTTCGACCCTTCCTATGGCCGCTTCGGGCCTCGGTTGCCGAGGTGAGTGGAGCAGCCTGGAGACTGCGCCCAACGCGGACCTCCAGAGCAAGGCTGCCCGCTTTACCAGCGCTGAGGCGCAGGAGGCTGCCGCAGAGGAGGCGAGCAAAGTCCTGAAGCGCGCCTTGTGCTCTCAAGCAGACTCTGGGAGGACTCATAATATCATAATAGTATGTATATAACATATATGATATGACTCATATGACTCATATCAATTTTGATCTGATTTGGCTCAGGCTTGTTGGGCGATTGACCCGCTCGACTGGGTTGGGACAGAAGGCGGTTGAAGAACAGGTTTGGGCATTGTCGTTCGGCTTCGGTGTGTATTCAGTGATTCAGAATTGAGACTCGGAGCCAAGGCCTGGTCCCAGAGCGCGCGCGGCTGACGCTCTTCAGCACTTCGCCCCAGGGTGAGGCCAGGTCTGCGGACTTGGTGCGCTATGGCGAGCTGCAGGTGGAGCAGCCACTGCAGAAGGAGCATCGACACCACATGTGCACCTAGAGCAAACAAACGAGATGACCTATCCATAAACGGCAGGGACACGATACGTCATTGCTCACGTAAAGGCGGTAACTTAACTTGCTTCGGGTTGTGCAAACTAGGGTGCAGAGAGGCTGCCAAGCTTCCCAGTCATCAATTCAACAGCACTGACTGGTGTCCGCGTGAAGCCTTCTAAACGAACAGTCTTCGTGTGCCCTTGCCGTTGGCTTGTGCAGAAGATAGGGGCAAAAGGCAAGACCGTTAACTGCCATCCTAAACGAAGCGGCAGACATTGTCTCTTGCCTTTGCAAGATCATGGGCTTTGCAAGGAGTGGCTGGCAGCCGGTATTAAGCCTGCTCTTTGGCCAGGCACTCAGGGCAATTGGAGCCTACTTGAACCTCAAGTATCGATGTATTTTCCTCGTGTCACCATTGCCTCTCGCTCTCTCTCTCTCTCTCTTTCCCTCTCCCTCTCTCTCCCTCTCTCTCCCTCTCTCTCCTTCTCTCTCTCCCTCTCTCTCTCCTTCTCTCTCTCCTCCTCTCTCTCTCTCTCCTCCTCTCTCTCTCTCTCTCTCTCTCTCTTTCTCCCTTCCTCTATCTCTCTCTCCCCTCTCTCTCTCTCTCTATCTCTTTTTCTCTCCCTCTCTCTCTCTCTCTGTTTCTCTCCCTCTCTCTCTCCTCTCTCTCTCCTCCTCTTTCTCTCCCTCTCTCTCCCTCTCTCTCCCGCTCTCTCCCCCTCTCTCCCGCTCTCTCCTTCTCTCTCTCCCTCTCTCTCCTCCTCTCTCCCTCCCTGTCTCCCGGTCTTCCTCCTTCTCTCCCTCCCTCTCTCGCTCTCCCTCCCTCTCTCCCCCCTTCTCTCCCTCCTCCCCTCTCTCTCTCTCTCTTTCCCTCTCTCTCTCTCTCTTTCTCCCTTCCTCTATATCTCTCTCCCCTCTTTCTCTCTCTCTCTCTCTATCCTTCTCTCTCTCCTCCTCTCTCTCTCTCTCTCTTTCTCCCTTCCTCTATATCTCTCTCCCCTCTTTCTCTCTCTCTCTCTATCCTTCTCTCTCTCCTCCTCTCTCTCTCTCCCTCTCTCTACCTCTCTCTACCTCTCTCTACCTCTCTCTCTCTCTCTCTTTTTTCTGCTAGGCAAAGTCATATCACCTCCACCTTTTAGGCAAGTGGAACATTAGCAACAATAATGGCACACGATTCGAGGATCCAACTGGACATGTGCCAGGTTTGCCTTCCTGTTCGCTTTGTCACTGAGGTGGCTGGCTCCTCCACTGAATGTCTACCTGTCCCGGGCTGACAAGATTCAGAAGTCGCCAGCAATGCCAGACCCTGACATACCGGAATCCATCAAGAGCAAGAAAGGCTTCAATGGCGTTCTCTGGTCTGATGCGTGCCGGGCACGCCTCATTGAGCCGAAAACGGAGCGATTGGAAACACCCATTCCGCGGTTCTTGTGGGCTGTTCCCGGGTGCATCTATGTGTCTGGCCAGTTCAACGAGCTGGTTGAGCCTTTGGGCAATGAGCCGATCGTAACCCTTACGCTATGGCTGCCTGCCAGATGCATCCAAGAAGCATCCTTACAGTCGAAAGCTGCTGGGCGCATGTGGCTGATTTCATTGCAATGTGCTCTCGAGAGCCCGTTCTTTGGTGCAGCGCTTGCAGGATGTCGATGGGAGAGTGCCTTTTTTGCCTCGTCGTCCGAAGCAGGAATGCGACTGTGCTTTCAAGGCTTCTGTGACAACTTGCCTTCCTTTGCCACGGACGTGGCTGCTGCTATAGGCGCGCATTCGGGCCCTACAAATGGTGATGAGCTGGAGTTAGTGCGGCGGTTGGCGCTGGCAGAGCTTCAGACTGGCAAGACCCGCAGGGACGGCGCCTCTGACTTGCGATCCTGCTTGCAGCAAATCAAGATCGGCGACATCCAGAAGGAATGCAGTCAGACGAAAGCATTAGATGCAAGTTACCTGTGTGATCTGCCCCCAAATAAGACCAAAGAAAGGTGCGCTGGCACAATAGGGAGATTTGATCTTTGTGGAGCACTTGGCCATGCATTCTGCCTAGGAGGCCAAGGCCCTATGGAGAAGCGCTGCAGAGTCCGCACCCATCAGCCAGGCCCTGGTCGCTGGAGCCATCTCGCAGGAGATGGAATTGGAGAAGAGACAGGGATCGTTTAGTTACAGGTCTGTAAGTGTTGCGCCTCACTTCCAACATTTTGATTATTGCCCATGCTTTGAAATAGGAAGACCAGGAAACCACACTAAGAAGAAACAACATCATGCCCGACCATGTTGTCAAGAGGAGGTGCTTGAGAGTAAGGGTCGCGTGTAGTCGTTTAAAGCCGTACACTTCACTACTAAGTTGCCCTTTTGAGCCATTGCGCTTTGCAAACTGGCAGCTTGACTCATCATTTACAAACACAACCTTGGCAACTATGGTGGCAAAGGATCCAGGCTTCTGATGGGCCCAATTTGGGAGCTGTCGTTGTCATTACAATTGAGGCGAGCGACAAACGAGGGCTCTTGCGGAGGAGCAGAGCGCCGAGCTCGTGGAGAAGGTGGCAGCGCAGCTGCCACTTGGCCGTGGAGCTATGGCAGATGTGAGCGTGGAGCCAGGGCAGCGCCCAGCGGCGGTGCTGACCCGTAGGCCATCCTGGCAAGGAGAGGGTCCTGAAATAGACATAGAGAGAGAGAGAGAGCGATAGAGAGGGTGCTTTGTTTCTTCCAGAGGCCACCGAAAGTGAGGCAAGCGAAACGGACAGAGCGGAGCTGCAGGGCTTGGATCGAAGGACCAGTGGCGCAGAGCCTTTGCCGCGCCTCTGGACTCCCTGCCCTGCTTGACGTGTGTGGCCGCACCCTCCGCTGAAGCCGCACGAGCATCTTGGAGTCTTGGAGCATCCTGCAGCTGACCTGACTGGACATGGAGCTGAACGCCCTGACGGCATTCCTGCGCTGCTGCGGGAACGTGACTGTGGGGCTTGCAAACCGAGGCCAAGGAGAAGGCGAGATCTCCAAGAGCAGTTTGCAGCTGCGCACATGCGTATTTCAGCGCATGGAGAGAAGAAAACCCCAGAATGTGAGAACGTGACGCCTTCTGACTGCTTGTGGCGAACTTTCATGACAGTTTGCGCCTTTGGCTTTGGCTCCAGCTTTGCTTGACCCAAGGCTTACTTTAAGCAATGAACAAACACCCCAGAATCTTGGCAGACACCTTGCCATCAGCACAGTTTCACCTGGTTTTGCTATTTCCCACCTGAAGACAATAATGGTAAGCGCGAACCACATTGCCAGCTGGCATGTGCCCTTTCACAATCAGCAACAGACAACCCTGCAGGCAAAAATCACAGATAAGGAATGTGATCAGCCAATGACTTGCTTTTACCAGTCGACAGTGCACAATGCCCCATGATGATGCCGTTCCAATCGGTGAAGGTGTGGGGTTTCTGGCTGTGAGAGCTGCCACCAGCATTTGCCAGCACTTTTTCTTTTTTGCCCGCCGTTTCCACTGATCTGGTAGACAGCAGCTAAAGTGAAGTTTGTTTGCGCTAGGTTGGGCCCGGCACAATGCGGAGATGTTGGTGCACCCGCCCTCGCAGGCGTTTGCGCGCTTGCGGCATGCGTGGACGGTCTTTCCTGAATAAAATTGAGGAGCTTTGGGGGTTGTCTTTTCTTAGTGGAAGCCATCTTGGTACCATCCAATCAAGCCACCTTGCAAACCTTCTTTGACTTTTGTGGAGCTTTGATGGAGAAAGTGATTGGCTAGTGTGGGAAGTAAGATGCATCTTGCAAGCCTCACGGGGTCTCACGGGGTTCTTGCCTGAGCCAGCGCCGATACTTGTTTCCGCTGTTGTTCGCACTTGCAAGTGCCGGCCCTGGGCCCAGGTGTATTTTGCCCAACGAGGAGACCAGCGGGGAAAGCACGTGCCTCAGGACATGTTGCTGGTAGCTAGCTGATCTGAGATTCATGCAGGTGACGATGAGATACAAAGCGTCAAACCAGGCAATCCTTGGCTGGATGGGTTTGTGGATGCACCTCACCACTCTGCGTCCCACCCAGTACCGTGTGCCCTGCAGCTTCGGTCCCAGACTCGCACCCCTTTCACCCCGTGAACCAGCACCCCTGCACCTCTCGCAACATCCTACCCTAAACCAAACCAACCCCTACCAAAACCCCAACCCTAACCCTAACTCAACCCAAACTCCAAACCCACCCTAAACCCACCGTAAACCAACCCTGAACCAACCCTAAACCAACCCACCAACCCTAAACCAACTCCAAACCACACCCCAACCACCCAACCACCACCCCACCCCCACAGGGGGGGGGGGGGTTTGGGGGAGGGAGGGGGGTTCACGGCCTGAAACATATATATATATATATGTGATTTGTGTTGGTTGCTGCTCGCATTTGAGGTACCTCTTGAAGTCTGAAGACGGCAATTGGGTAGCGTGGCACTCATTTGCAAATGGAAGCCAAGCAGAAGTCATCAAACAATAAATGTGTTGGTGTGATGCAACAAATAGCTGTGATTTATGGATGCCCTCCATGCCCTTGGAAACGATTTTGCGATTAGTCCCTAAACTCAGCAGGCTTAGCGCGTTTTGCTCGTCGAACCCATCCCAGGCAGCCAAGTTTTGACCATCCCAGGTTTGTCCCGCACCTCATGTAGGTGCAGATTGTCCCATCGAGGCGCGCTTCCATTGAGGTGCATGCTTTGTCGCTAGGAATTACTCAAGAGCCAAGCACAAAGTGTGGAGAGCCAGGTGAAAGCTGCAGCCGCATCCATGCTGAGACCAACTGACGGTTGGTGCCTTGGTGAGGAGCGAAGGCTTGCGCAGGCACGTGAGTTTTGGATTCGGCCTGCAAACCAGCATAGATTACGCTGGAACTCGTGCTGGGAAATCTTTGCAGCAAGCCCGCTTGCGAGGCAAAATGTCCTCGGAGAAGTTGGATCGCTCGGTGGTGCTGGCGGACATGGTGTGGCTGGCTTGAGCTTTGCCTCCCTTTAGCAGAACATTCTGCAAGGTTCAACAGGCAACTTCCAATGGTCCGCCACAGGTGTGGTCGTTCTTTCTGGATGAATCAGACAGCAGATAGAGAGCTGGGGACATGCGGAAGGACGAACGACAGACCAGTGCACATGATTCATTTGAAGCAGTGATGAGCCACATGGCAAAACTCAGCTGCCAAGGGCTTATCAGACAGACGCAGGAACAAGTTGACATGGCCAGATTGACATGTGCCCATTTGGCAGGCTGGAAGCACATGCGCACTTTTGTCGTTTTGGCTTTTTGTTGTACCACTTTAGGGACTGCGTGCATGTACTTCATTGCACTCTGCGCCAGCCCAAAACGGCACGCCTCGCATTGAAGTTCCCGCTTGGCAGAGCTCTCAGCATCATGAACATCATGCAGTTGTGACGGCCTTCAACTTGTGCTTACTTTGTTTGCCATCTTCCTTGTGAATGCTGAAGCACATGTGCATCACTCAACCCCCTGCATGAATTTCTGAGAGAACATGTTTAGCATTTTTGTTTGAGTTGCCAACGGACACAAGCCTGTTTGTTTCAGGGTCGAGGCGTTTGTGGCTTGCATGCAGGGGCAGATTGACCAAGCCGGCCACCGATTCAAATTTGTATCACAAGGCAAGCCAATCAGTTAGGCGCCGCTTGTGCACAAGCACACCTGAGGATGCTGTCCATGTCTCGCTAGATCTTTTCCAGGCTTGGCACGCTAGATGAAAGGTGGCTCTGCTCGAGTCAAGGCTTCCTGGACACACCGGCCTGCTGCTACGCGCTCTTCACGGGCCTCCGAAGGAGCGCAGGAGCAGCGCACTGGCCGGGGCACTTGGTGACCTGATGCCAACAGGAGGCTAGAGTCTGGGTAAGCAGATGCAGGGCTGTCACTTAAAATATCGAGGGGAGGCACCAACTGGAAAAGGTTCATTCAGGGACAGGATTCTCTCTAACATAAGACCAACCAGAAACTTCAATTTCGAGGGCATCAATAAGCGAACCACTGAGACGGTCCTTTTTGTATGCGCTGCGCGCATCGCGAATACCTCTAAGGTGTGCCTCGCAGTTTCATCAGCGGCTTCTGCGAGAGGCAGAACAGGGTTGGGCTAAAGGCTTCTTGGGCCCTTGATGGCAGACTGACTGGGGAGTCAAGACGTATTGTGAAGCTTTCAGAAGCATCCAACAGGAATAATGTTCAATGTGCTGGCGGTGAGGATGTTATGCGATTGGGCGCCTCTGCAAAGCACTTTGCAGGTGGCGAAGAAGATCCATGGCTGGTGGGATTCAGAGGCTGGATTTTGGCGTGCCCAAGGTTTGTCAGTGTGATCAACAATTGCGCATGCTGGAATGGAATGCTGGAATGCCCAGGCACTTTTGCTGATGACTCAAATTCTATTCTATTGCCTGTTGGACTTTCAGCCCCTGCCGTTCATGATTAATGTTGGTAAGACTTGGCCAGGGTTTGCACATGATTTTGGAGCTAGGGTTGAAGTCTCATAAAAGTCGGGCTGGAGGTTCCGCGAAAAGGACATTGCATGCCTTGAGCAATTTGCTTGCGGGGGATGGGGTCAAGCTGGTTTAACGCTCACGTTGGGCGCCGTTCATTCCAAGGCAACAAACCATTTTGCGCCCGCGTGAGTCTGCGTGAGGCAGAGATGCCAGAGGAGCTTCAGTTCATGGAATAGGGCACTTGTTGGGCCAGGTCAAATCAGCCTCTCGTCTCTCGATGTACAGCCTTGTGCACCTCCAAGTGTTTACAAGTTCTGCCAAGCGTCCCCTTGTGGTATTTAGTGGTTCAATATTGCCGACCAATATCTATACACATCACCAAGTGCCACCGTACGCTGCCACCGCTCCCCCAAAGTTCCAAGCCATTGACGAGGGCTGCGTACTGGACATCCAGTGATGCCATCAAATACAATGAAGCTTCCAGCAGACATCAAATGCGTCATCTCCTGCGAGGATTCATGTCTTGCGGGACTATTATTTGCTAGTGCCGGCTCATACCGAACTGACATTGAGGCACCTGCTTTTGATGTCACGGCATAACAAACGGCTGTTGACCGTTAGGTTGTAGGTTCAAGTCCTAACAGATAAGAAACATGAACATGATTTTTTGTCAAAAAAATACTGATAGGTCATATTGTTCGGTTTCACGTGGAATGGCTGAGTGGTTGTAGCGGTAGACTGTAAATTGTAAACGCTTCGCGTTGCCCGCCTCGGCCCAGCCTAGTTTGAGGGAAGGGTCAGGAACACCGAAATCCAGTGTTGGGAAGGTCCGAATCCTACTGAAAGCTTGTGACCGCACCAGTTCGCCCGTGCTAGTTCGATGTTCGGAAGCCGTCCTGCTCGGAAGGTTTGAAATCCAAAACCAAGACTATCTCAGCTGCTCAGTGCCCTTGGAAAAAAAAGGACCTCTTTCTGGGGATGAGCATTTTTAGTGGGGCTTGGCCTCCATAAAAAGGGGAACAATAATTGGTGTCACTGAACAACCAAGACCAACTTTGTGTGTTTGGGCACCTCCATTTCACGGGGCTGGCGGCTTGCCATGACATACGTTTCTTGCTCGGTTGCTCAGCCCAAGACAGGTACATGGTGGGAATACAAACCTCCATTTGCTTAAGTACCCCGGAAAAATATCCTCAATAGTGATAGTTTCCCTGTAAAACCAACAGGGGGGCATAAAGAATATTCATTTCAGCAAGGATGCATCTAAACACACATCCTTCGGTCCTTCAGGATGAGAACTGGTCGTTGGCCTGAGGCCAGTCGCAGACACGTTAGACAAACCTGACCTTGGCACGCTGGGCTGAGCCTGCTGGTGGGGTGGCTGGCATGCCCTGAGATGCGCCGGGGCCTGGGCTGTTGGGCTGGGCCTGAAGCTAGTCTCAGCCACGAGGCTGCGAAGCCATGGGTGGGTTGCTGGCTGCCGGGCAGCCGGACTACGCTGCTGGTTGCGCCTGGAACTTGGGCTGGGCAGGCTTTGGGCGGGTTGCTGGATGGGCAAGGCCTGTTTCATACACACTTGGGCCTGAGGCTGGGTGGCGAGTTGCTGGCTGGGCTGGGCCTGAGGCCAGTCGCAGACACGTAAGACACGCCATCAGGCGGGCTGCAGGAGGTCATGCTTTTCAGGACAAAAAAGCAATTTTTTAGTGATTTTCGCAATGTCAGCACATTCGACAAAAATGGACCCATGGAGCTGGACGCCGACGAACCCCGAAAATTTCAAGGCCCGCCGGACAGGATTTTGGGCCAGCCGACATGGGTAGGGGGGGGGGGGCCGGCAAAATTTTGGTCGGGGAGGGGTTGGGATTCTCTTTGGAGAAGAGATCTGAGCGCCCTTGGCCCCTTTGGGGCCGAGGCGAATTTACACTGTAAATATATGACATGTCATCGCTACATTCGAGTTTGCTTGGAACAGGAAACTGTGTTAAGCTAGTCCGAGCGATGAATCCGCGGTATTGACTTGGGTTTACTCGCATGACATCGTGGTATTTGTCCCCTCTAAACGAGCCCCGTGGTTGTTGAACGGCAATCTTTCCCGAATAGCCCGATGAAAGGAGAACGCCGTTCGCTATGCGTGGAATATTCAGGGCTCATTTTGTGCCAAGATTCAATGGACTTTGAGTTTGCCTTCTTCAGCTGGGCCTTTCATTCAAGAACTTGGACTGCTCAGGAGCTTATGTACCGGGGCTCCCATGCCGGCAGCCGAGGATGCCAACAGTCTTGGCAGGTTTGGAGAAGGTGATGTTTGAAGCGCGGGACACAAGATGTAGTTAATGCATTTTACATATTTTGTATTGTTTGCCTTTTCAACGTGAGAGTTTACTGAAGTTGCCAGGACTCAAACCGCAGCTCAAAATGATTCCTGCAAGGACTGTTGCTTTTGTCACGTGAAGCACCATGTCCCAACCGGATTTAGTTGTGAAAGACGGCGTCTCCAATCCCTATCTTTTTTATGTCTTCTCTTTTTGTAATGAAAATATTTTCTCTGGGAGAGACGTGAGGATGGAATATTTTGTAGATGTGGCTTAGGGAAGTGACCAACTGATAGAAATATCATTGGAACAAGGAAATCCTCAATTGAGACAAGATACTGGTAGTGGCCGGCGAAGGAGCCACTCTCCTACGTCATACCATCCTTCCATCTCTCCATTCAAGACTGAATTGGCAGAGAGAGATGGAGAAGCCGAAAGGGAAGGCAACAAATATCTCTGAGAGGAGGTAAGACCGAAGGCAACTCCCTTTCCCACTCTCTCATTTCCCATCCCATCGCCCACTTCTTCATCGATTGTAAGCTCTGGAAGTTAGCTGCCGATGGGAGATAATACGTGTGTTAAGAGAGCGTAGCTTTGTTCCAGCGAGAAGTTTCTTGATGTGTGGAGGCACATTGACTCGTGGGGCACGCAGAGACACAGACACACTGAGACGCAGACACACAGACACACAAGCACTCACGCCCTGGAAACAATGCTTGGTACGGTCTTCGCTGCGAAGACCGCTGGTGTATCATCACCTTCTTGTTTGGCAAACAAAAGATGTTGTCACTTCTTAGAGCAATCACACATCTACAAATCAGCGCTATGCGGTGGCTGAGGTGGGCTCTTTGAGCAAAGTTCTGAAAGAGCTCCTGGAGGCTGGACTGGGGTTGAGTCAAGCCGCCTGTCCTTAGCCTTGCTTTTTGGTTCAGGGTGCAAGAAATCATGCATCGGGAATTCCATTCCGGGCTCTTCCGGAGGAACCTCGGTGCAAAAACCTCCGAAGACCCGAGTAGCGCTGTTCGAAGGCCTTGGACCGCGACCTCATCCAGGGCCCACATGGCCTGGGCGGCTGTGATGGAGCCGGGAGCCTCGCGCTACGGCACTTGGACTTAGACTTTGTGAAGCCTCCAATGGATCCTTCAGCAGGGACCACGTACAAGTAGTCCTTGCATCACTGGCTATTTCAACATCCAGAATTGTGCAGTAGCAGCTTCTCACACGGAAGACCCCTCAACTTAGCTGGATTCCTTTCACTCGCTTTGGCTGCTCGACTGTATGAGTTAACTTGTGTGTTTGCATTTTTGATATGCTTGTAGTGGTCTACATCCAGCCGACATGTTGAATTTGTTGGGGCTGGCTTGGCTGTTTCAACTCCATTTTATTCATAGCATTTGACCGCATTTGATGGGCATGTTTGTGTTTTTGGTGGCCCACTACGTATTGGGCAAGGCCATTCTCAAATGAGCCGAAAAAGAAAACCCGTTGTATGTGTCAATGTAAGGCGTGATCCCAGTTGTTTTGGACGTATCAAATCAGCTGCACCGCCGCTTGTAATTTGAAGGGCAGGAGGCAGGAGCGGCCGCGCAAGTCAAGCATGGGGCTGCGCAAGTAAACCGCAAGTGAAGCGCAAGTGACGCAGTGATGATTCTCATTGTCATCATTATCATCATCATCACCATCATCATTCTCATCATCATCATCATCATCATCATCGTCGTCATCATCATCATCATCACCATGGCCTAAAGATGAACAAGTTTTCGCGCAAGTCCCGCGCAAGTCGCGCGCCCCCAAACTGCTTGGAGCAGGAGTGGCCCATTTCCGTATTTTGCATTTTCTTTTTCTGCAGATCCCAGCAATTTTGCTTCCGCGTAGCCTCCAAGGCTTATTCAAGGCCACTGGCCCACATGCTTCCTACTACTACTACTGCTGCTGCTGCTGCTGCTCCTCCTACTACTACTACTACTACTACTACTACTACTACTACTACTACTACTACTACTACTACTACTACTAACTACTATCTACTAACTACTAACTACTAACTACTAACTACTAACTACTAACTACTAACTACTAACTACTAACTACTAACTACTAACTACTAACTAACTACTAACTACTAACTACTAACTACTAACTACTAACTGCTAACTACTAACTACTAACTACCAACTACTAACTACTAACTACTAACTACTAACTACTAACTACTAACTACTAACTACTAACTACTAACTACTAACTACTAACTACTACTACTACTACTACTACTACTACTACTACTACTACTACTACTACTACTACTACTACTACTACTACTACTACTACTACTACTACTACTACTACTACTACTACTACTACTACTGCTTCTACCAAGACCACGGGCGAAATCGCAGTCGGAACCGGTCAATTGGAACGTTGTTTGCAAGCCGGTCAAATTGCTGGCTGGCCTGGCTACGTAGCTCTCGGTCCGGCCCTTGCCTCAGACCGCGGCTCTCCTTTTAGCCCTTGAAGCCATGTATGTGGAAACCAGCTCACGCATTTCGGCGCCGGCTCACTCGCTCAAAACAACACAACACTTCAAGGCAAACCAAAACACAGTACCTCAAAGCCAACCAAAAGAATACTGGCCGAGGCGGGCAGCGCAAAGCGTTTACAATTGTTGTCTCGCAACCACCACTACTACTACTACTACTACTGCTGCTGCTACTACTACTGCTACCACTACACCATTACAAGTACGACTATTAATACTGCTACTACTACTACTATTGCCACTTTTACTACTACTACTGCTACTACTACTACTACTGCTCTGCTGCTGCTGCGGCTGCTACTACTCTTCTACTGCTACTGCTACTGCTATTGCGACTGCAACTACTACCACCACCGCCACTAGTACTACTGCCGCTACTACTGCTACTAGGACGACTACCTACTACTTCTACTTCTACTACTACTACTACTACTACTACTACTACTACTACTACTACTACTACTACTTCGGCGGCTGCTATCACTACTACCACTACTTCCGTTTGCCAACGACCTCATACACTTAAAGGGGCATGCTATTGGGGGACCTCAATGCTTATGAAGACCGCCGCTTGGATTTGCAATGAAAACAACTTGGGATAAGATGACGGGTTTATTTTTTCAGCTCAAATGAGCATGTCCAAACAAAGAAATCAGCAGCATGTCCAAGTGTTGCGATCGATTTTTGCCAGGACAAACGTAATGGCGTTGCAGCAAGGCTTTTGCCATGCGAGAATCCGACTCTATCCGCCTGCCGCCTGGACCAAGCAAACCCCGCTATAGCAAGTACACATGCGTGTTTCCTACGATCGTATTCGGGTTGCTTGGCAACTCTGACCCCTCAAAATAATACATCAGGATGTCTGTTGGCCTTTGTTCGGGGAATTGATTTGCACATTTTATTGGGGAAAGGTTGTGGCCATCTTGGTGGGTGAGAACCTGGTCACCGCAGCAGTTGGACAGGCGCGGTATTTATCTGAGTCAGCTGATGGCCATGTCGCTTCCGATCAGACATGTACAAATGGACACATATGCTAGAAATTGCAACTAATGCTCTTGGAATTCAGAATTGCAATTTACAATCATACATTGAACTTGCATTTCAATGTCGAATTGACATGTTGAACGGAATCTGCAAGCTCAAGTCGTATTCTCTTCAACCAGAGGCCAGTGGCTGGAGTCATTTGGAGCGGGATGAAACAAAGAGGCAACGGGCGATCAGAGGGCTTAGGCCGCATGGGGTGAAGCAGCTACTGAAGGGTAGTGGTTTGCAGGATGCAGCTAAAAAGGACGCCTGCAGAGTGGCTGGCAGATTTTGCTAGCAGAGCTCCTATTTGTAGGAGGTTTATCGTTGAGACTTGCCTTGGCGCCACGATATTCATTGCGCAGCATTTGAAGATTTGATGTGTGAACATTAACTGCATGGCTGCGTGTGCCCACCGATTGTCTCTATGTAGCGCCAAACAAGCACACCAGCTTTGAACAAGCGGTTCGCAGGGCGAAATTATGTGCTGGCTTTAGAGCCGCATCGGATTGCAGAAATGCCACAGCTTACAAGATTTGCTTTGTTCTTGCGGCAGACACTTTGCTTGGTGTTCCCACTTGCAGAGCCCCGAGTTTTGATGCTTGCGAGCTGTAATGCAAGCTGATCCCATCGTCTTAACCCGTGCGAGGATTCCAAGCACGGCCTTCGTCCTTTAAACTCAACACGTCGCCAAACGGCAGAGCTTGGCTTTGCCCAACCCAAACAAGACGGATTCGATTTTAGGGGTCAAGGTTTTACGCGATAAAAACAACGTTTCAACGTCTGGATATTTTTCCGTTTGCTTTCCAGGCCTCAGCCACGCTGCTCTTCCAGGGCGCGGAAGCGCTGCCGCTGGTGCCGCTGCTAGGCCCCGGCTCCGGAGGTTCACAGGTTCACTGGCTAAACGGCCCTGTTTCGCACTTGCATGTTTTTGTCTGTGTTTGTGTTTGTGGCATGTGCTGTTGTATGAGTCTTGGCACGCGCGGCTTGCAGCGTTATGATGTTGTATTCACGTACGAGCATTGGCTGCATGCGGCGACTAGCGAAATCATGCGCGAGCAGGGACATGTTCTGGGCTCCGCATCAACGTGTCGATTGAGGGGGCCATTAAGCAGCTGCACAGTTGTGCAAACGGGATCAAACATGGAGCAAAGTCCAGCTCCAGCACACTTCACAGTCAAACCCGCCGGACACTGCACGCCATGCTCCATCGCAACTTTCCAGACTTGTTTCACCGCTCGGGGAAAAGCTGGGGCCCAACCATCACTGGTTATTTGCCCATTAATTGTGTGAAACAACTCGAAAGCCTTGAGTGCAAATTCCCTCCGAAAGAGTCAGAATCAAGGACGCATTTTTTCAGCTGTGTTTAAGGATTTGGCCACAATGTTTAGCTTGCGGCAGCTTGCGTACCTGTGCAGATGAGACTCTACTGATTCAGAACGTTGGTGACGTGTGACAAATGATTGCATTCTCGCTTGCGCTTTGCAGCATTGCTGCCCGTGCAAGGGCAAGAGGAAGAAGAGAGCCGGGCACTTAGTAGTGTGGCAAATCAGGAAATTGGACATCGCGGTCGAGTCGCGTCAAGATTTGGCGTACATCAAGGGGAAGTAGCAATTGCTTGAGGCTTACCGCCCCGCCTTTTGTTCATCAATAACGTGTCATGCTTGTTGGGTCAGACTCATCAACGTGTTCACAATCTGTTTCAGGGCTATTGGTTATCTCCAGGTGAGGACACTAAGACCACTTCGGCAGAGTCAGCTCCTTGGTTGCAATGCTGCTCCAAGTGATGGGTTGCAATTGTCCTGCCGGCATCTCAGCACTGACAAGTGTTTGTTCATTCGCCGCAGGCTTCTGGAGCACGAAGGAAGTAATTCCGAAGTGTGGCTAGGCACCTTGTGAGTTGTTCAGAGTTTAGCTTGTGCGCTGGTCATGTTTGGTGGAGGCATTTGTTGTTTTCTCCCATGATTAGGTATTGAATGGTTATGTTGCTCGAACCATTGCTTGGTTTCATTTGATTGGTTCAGTTGTGCTTGTGTTGCTTGGGGGGCACCAGACCAGAATTTGGTTCCTACGCAGAATTGAATGGAGCCGGTCAACATCCGTGCCTCCAAAGCAAGCTTAGCGAACAAATACTTGCGGTTCTTTTCATCCACAGGCGGCGATTTCGCAGCTGCGGCTGGGCCAAGCATCTGAAAAAGGAGCTGCAGTTTGGAATCCAACAGCGCCAATTTGAAGTGTAAGCCGTTCAGACTTGTTCAAGCCAGAGTTTTTTTTGTAGTGCCAACATGTGGCTTTCCTCAAGTTAGCACCATATTCCTCAAGTGGGCACCATACCGCAGATTGTTTCACAGTTTGGTCAGTGCTCTCTGGATTCAAGTGGCCTTTGCTGCACCATCAAAAGGGAACCCGGCTCTGGAAAGAACACGAGGGAACGATCCACTCGAAGCGTGAATGCAGGAGCGCTCCTTGACACTGGTGGACTTCGAAGAGCGAAGTGCGCATGGGATGCCAGCGAGGTGCTGGGGTCGTTCAATGGCTTGAAACACCAGTTGCAGTTGATTCTGTGTGCTCAGTTGTTTCACGAAAGGGTTTTGTGAACACCAATTGCACGCGAACCCGACGCGATGAGAGCTGTCAAGGCGCCGCACGAACATCCCTTCCAAGAGGTTATGACAAGTCTGACTCAAAAAATGGCTAGATTATGCGTGGACTTCGAAGTAGCAGGACTTGCCAGACCAACCCAGGTTCAGTTTACACTCAAGTCAAGCAATAACTGGTGAAGCATCAATTTCACAAGCAACCTCGGCGGAAGTTGGTACATTCATTTTGCAGGCGACCGATGTCGATGAGGACCCAGTGAGTAGGATGCTCCGCGCACCTGATGCATTTTCAGTGCCCGCGACTTGGCAGTGCGGCAACGGTCGCTGCATCAATGGCAGAAGTTGTCAATCATTGTCAGGCTACAAAGCTTGGCTGAAAACTCCTTTCAATGTTGATGTCAGTGTAAACGTTGCGTGCTGCACGCTCGGCCAGGCTCAAAAGAACCGCAAGAGTGACGCCGGGGCTGGGCTGAGCAGTCTGGCGGGCTGCAGCGGGAAGTGATTGCCATGGCTGAGGGGCTGGAGGAGCAGGGAAGGCTGGCCCACGTAAAGCTGGGGCTGCGGCTGGGGCTGCAGCTGACAGCTTCGAGCCGCGGGGGTGGCGGGCCTGGGGAAGCGATGGCTGCGCGCTGGCCAGCTGTGGGAAATTGGCTGGCTTGGGCTGGGCAAGCTTTGCTTTTGCTGAGCAGGGCAGGGCGGTGAAGGCCGCAAGAACCAGGGGGCTCGCTTCAAGGGCAGTTGGGGGCTGCGGATGCTCGTTCGGACCCCTTTCCCCCTTCAATTTTTCTTCTATGAGAACCTCGCGTTGCTCGTGATGCTGGGGACGCAGCCCGCGAAAGTTGCCTTGTGGCGCTCTGTCCTGGGTGTAATGATTCAAGCTGCCAGCTCCTTCACGTGTGTTTGGCACAAAAGTACTTTTTTCGTCAGGTTGCCAAGTTACCTGGCATTCGTCAAACACAAAGTGATTTAGGGCGAATGCGGCACGCCATGATGCATGAGCCTGATGCACAGCTTGAGGTTGGGTATCAGCGAGAAAGGGCCAGAAGGAACAGCTGAGGTCAAGACGGCGTGCCCTCAACAGTGCTTGGCGTGAGATGTCGAAGGCTTGATGTCAACGTTGGCATCCAGGGTCAGCAAATCTGAGTGAATGTTGCTCCCGCAGCTATTCATGCCAGGGCTTGCAAGGACGGAGTTGTTTCGATGTTTGCTGCCGCATTGCCAGGTAGGGTGTCCCCAGCTTTCAGAACTGTCACTGGCAGTACTCGAAACATGCGAAGGAGGGGGAGAGAGCATCTCGATTTGTTCTTACAAACGCCCGGTCGCACCGTCAGGTACAAGCGGCTTGCGCTTCGGGTCCACCCAGACAAGGCGAGGCCCAAACTCTTCAAATATATATATGTTATATATATATATATGTTATATATATATATACACTTTGCACGTCTCGCACGGTGACCGCATACATGCGCACATCTTTGAGACTCCCAGGGAGGTGCATGGCATGTGGGTGTCTTGGTCCACCCAGCCAATCTGATCGATTCAGCCCGTCCTAACTCTCATGCATATCGATCCAGAGGGCTTGGATTTTTGAGTTGTTGTCAAGATTAGGAAGGACAATGGCATGAATTTAGATGGTACTTGTCCAAATGAGCAACAACATCAGAAGGTGACGTACATTCCCGTTGCGCTGAATTTTTGATTGATTCGTGTCGATGCATTGGTGCGCAGAAATGTCATCATCTCCCTTGCTCCACTTCGTGCTGGTAAGTAATGATATTCCAGTGTCAGTGTCTGTCAGGTGCGAAATTGTGACCCAGACGACGCCAAAGCAGCCTTCGCACGACTGGATGCAGCTGCAAGGATAGTCGAGGTGCAAATGCAGATTGGAGTCATGACGTGGCCTGCGGGGCGATGTGGTGAGACCACCTGATTCTTTACGAGTGCTGGTTGAATAGATGGTCAGGGTGAAACCCTGATTTGGGTCACATTCCAGCTGCGTGAAGTGATATGCAGTCTGTAGGCAGGGCTCAAAGGAGGGGAAACCGCCCACTGAAAAGACTCAGCCAAGAGCAGCAGAGTCACAAAGCAGACGGCAACTCCCTCAGCCTGGCTCCCTGAAGCCGGTTTGTTGACTGGACTGAGTATACTGCTGGCATTCGAGGAAATCCAAAACTCTTTCTCTCTTCAAACTCATTCTTTGACCAATCTAGGCCATCTTTGCATTCTTTAGTGGTACTTTCACCATGACAGCAAGCTTGAGTTTGTTTTTGGAAGTTCGAGTTGTTTGGTTTCCGAACGCTGAGACGCGGCAGGGCAGAGGGCACGGCGGTCTTTGCCGCCAGGCCCTTTGTGAGCACAACGCCGATATTTGCCGCGAGCTGCGGCGAGTGCTCCGCCCGGCCCCCGTGTATTGTGATTGGCAGTCGCACTTGACCTGAACCGTGTTCGACAGCACGAATGTCATGCTCCTTCAGCCACTCAGCCACTAGAGCACTCACTTGTGTAGACAAGTAACAAACCGCAGCTTGAACCTTGCAGTCAGTGCCGCTGGTTGCAGTTCAGTTCAAACGTTCAAACACAAAGATAAAGATGTGGCAAACAGCCACGCCGGAAGAGCATGAGCAACGATGGAGGGCAAGAGAGTCTAGAGGCAGTGGCCTTTTCCATCCCCTGGCTGAGGCTCTAAATATCAAGTCCAGGGGGAATGATGCTCTGGAAGATCAGGGGATCTCTGGGATTTCGGTATGCCCTCATTCTACGCAAGATCCTTATGTGCTTTTAAAGCTCGGAGAATTAGCATTGTCGCGAATGTCCTTGGCTTTCTATTGCAGTCTCCAAGATGCCAGGATTCGACCCCTTCACAGTCAAAGGCGCTTGCCAACTACTGCAGGCATGGCACAGCTATGTGGTCGTTGGCATCATCCCTTTGATCCAGCTTCTTCTGCATTCCATCCTTTTGATTCCTTTTAGCATGCAGATGACTTTGTGGTACAGGATCCCATGCCATTCTCTGTATGTCTACGGACTGTGTCGGGTTGAGCTAACTTGCTTGCGTGCGTCAGCTTGAAGGTGGAGCAAGACGCTGACGACTCGCAGGTGAGCAAGGTGCAGAGTTCGGAAGAGAACAAATGACGTAGGTCAATCAGCCTGGATCAGGTTGCCAGGTGCCACATGTTTACTTTCGCCCTTGCCTGAAACATGGTAAGATTTGGCCGGGGGTTGAGGGTGCCCATGTTTGTGGGGGAGTCCTATCAGTGAACTTTTTTCACTTCTAGCAGGGGATGAGTTTGGACCACCCAGCTTTCATTTCGCCATTTCTCTGGGGCCTTTTTGCTCCGCGTACGTTTGCCATTTGGGACACGAGATACGTTCCAACGACTAGCATACGAGACCCGATAATGCACCATTTGCCTTGCGCCGAACCAGCCTTGTCTATTCAAGACGCAGAGTAGTTGGTACAGGCAGGTGACCTAGTGAAAGGTCGATTTGTATTTGGCCAACAGAACTAGGCATGTTGCATTGTGCAAAACAACAAGGTCAGGAATGCTTGCGGTAAGGGGCAGGTGGCTTCCTGAGCGTTGAGATTTGAAGGCCAAAGATGACCTGAAGCAGAAGTTGGCAAAGGCCCAGCTTTTGGAAGCCTTGTCCGAGGCTGGAGCGTGGGCTCTGTGCGGGCTACCCAGATGGGTTGCACAATTTTACTTTGTGACCTTAAAGCAGCGTCACGCCAGAGCCAGTTGCCTACCCCTGACTTTTTCCTCAAGCTTTTTTTTCAAGAGTACTCTGTTGAGATGAGTGAATTCCACAGCTTAATTTTGCTGGAGAACTATCGTAATATTATTGGAGCTTGTGCCACCAAAACTACGCCAGGTTCAGCGAGGAATCGATGCCTGCATTACAGCTGCGGAGACTCTTGGGATCGCACGCCAGGCACCACCGGCAGAGCTTAGATAAAAAGTGTCACATTCTTGGCTAGAGCTGGAGACAGGGCCAAGCTTATTTTTCTTTCACAGGAACGCGACATAGTCAATAGCCGGTACAACTATTTAGAAGGACTTTTATGACGGCTGATTCAGAGTGATAGCAAGGGCAGCCAGAATTGCCTACCAGTGAGTATCAGTTACTGTGTTTCCCAGTTTTGTTGTTGTTTTTAACAGCAACAACTCATTGAGGGCCTATTCTTAGGGCCTGTTCTTACCATAGTTCTTTTACTCATACTTTGACAGGCTCCTGCAAGTCAGGCACATGGCACACTGCTGCGTAGGACCTTTGTTGGCCAATGGCCAGCAGATTGTCCGATGGCATGCTTGGAGGTGCCACAGTTTCTGCTGTAGTACTATTGTCGCATAGGCTTAAGGCCGCGACAACCTGGATCCTGGTGACTTGATTTCAAGACCATCAATGTTTCTTTTCCTCACATGGCAAATGGGTGGTGACAATATTCACACTCGAATGGCAAATGCACAGCTGTAAAATCGCACAATCCAAGCTCCCTTAAATGTGCTGATCACTTTTTCAAACGAGGATGGCATCTAGGCATCTATCTTGCACCATCACGTTTCTGTCGTCTATCTTGCCCCATCACGTTTCTGTCGTCTATCTTGCCCCATCACGTTTCTGTCGTATCTGTTCTATCAAACTTGCTGGCTCGGGGTTCGCATGAGTTGAAATTGCCACTTGTGAAACATCTTGGTACGGGCGGCCAGCCAATTCCCGGCAGGGTGCACCTGGCGCAGTAGGGGAGCGCCTTCTCGCAGAAGGCGGAGGGGGAAGGGGCCATGGAGCTAGCCGAGGCTATCAAGGCTCCCCTGAAGTTGGAGCTAGTTGCAAGGAAGATCACCTTGAGCGCACTTGGGAGGCTGATCACGAAAGCTAGCTTTAGCTAGCTGAAGTTTCTCCTTGCGTAAGCAAGGTAAGGGGCTCAAATGCCGAAAGATTGATTTTTTCAATTATTTGAGCCGAAAAGATTGAAAAACATCAATTATTTAGACCCCCCCCCCCCGGGTCTCAGGCTCGATTCCTCCCTGGTCCATCCCCCCCCCCCGGGCAGTGGCTCAGTGTTCAGCAGTCTCGGTTTGCCCGTTTTGGACTTGGTGCTACGAACTTTTACATGTTCCACCGATTCAGCTTGTTCATTTGAGACCTCAGTCTTCTCGGTAAACCACCTCGCAAGAATCTTTGCACACGCTGCATGCAGAACCCAGAGGTGCTTTAAGACAGCTTCTGACGCCTCTTGTTGTTTTCAGATTTTCAAGGTTTGCCACGCCACCATGTGCGTTTGCGTGTCGCATCCTACGAATCTTGCCGGGCCTCTCGTTGTACACAAGCTACCTATGAATCCACTCTGTCACCGACCCATCTCATGCAACAACTGCTAGCTTTCGTTCACCCGCTCCTCAAGTTGACAGTGGCAAATCTTGGCCGCAAGAGCCAAACAGGTGTAGGGATTCGTTCTCCGAAATTGGTGCTTCCCAAAAGACGACGAGCGCGCATCCGCAATTGGTTCGCCTAAGATCGCAACATGAACGATAAAGCAGCATCGCTGGGATAGGTAGGCACTAGCCGTTTCTCCGCCAAGCATCTTCCTCCATTTGCAGACCCAGGAGTGCCCGTGGCCAGCCTGACTGCCCTTGGCCTCAGAGACCTGCGGCACATTGGTGGCCGGCTGCAGGCGGGAGACCTCACAAGTGGTTTGTAGAGGCGACACTTGCTCTTATGCACTAAACATGTTGAAATGGATCATGAAATGGGCTCACGAAGTGCAAGCAACATAGTCCTTCTTCCATTGCAAGCGGTCGATTCGCTGACATTGCTAGAATTTGCTTGGCGCCTGATTTGCTCTCAAGCGCAATGCCCAACGAACCTGAGACAGATGTGTGAGACCTTTGGTGAATTCTGAGCAGATTACGCTGGCTAGTTGTAGGAAGAAACTCCCGTTGTCAAATGGTGGTGGCTGAACTCTGACCTGAAGCATTCGCTTGAAGCATTCGCTGCGCGTCTTGAGCATATGCACACTCTGGAATACTTGACCCGCAGAATTTGTGCAAGAACATGGCAGGTACGAACAGCTGCCTATAGGGCAGGGGAGGCTGGGTCAATTCGCTTGACTTGGCTTCAATAAGCTTGCTAGATATTAGAGACAGCCCGGCACATCACATAGCTTGACAAACGGAGCAGATTGCTTAGCGAAAGGGTCCGAGGGTTTCTCCACAGGAATGCAAGGTAATTAAACCAAGTCTACAATCTGCACCAACCCAAATCACAGCTATCGAATCCAAATGCCAAGCATGCCCACACAAGCTTGCCGAATCGCAACTCACCCCAACCCACCCCGACCCCTACCCACCCCAACCCACCCTGAACCCTGCCCAACCATACTCAACTCTATCCATCCCGACTCAACCCACCCAACCGTGCATTCAGCTTGAGAGTGCCTTCACTCGACCTTATTTGAACACCCTGGCACTGTCGCTCACGGAAACAAAGTTTGTCAATCAGCATCAATTTTACTGCGTGGTCAAAGGGCGTGTTGCATCCGTGTGCTCTCTTCTTTTGGTGCTATTTGCCAACAACATTGCGAAGTTAGCTCTCGCAGCTTGGCAGACAAATGCAGGGCAAATGCAAGACAAATGTGACGGTGCAGCAAAAGAGATGACCTTGCTTGTTGCTTGTTGTTATTCTGTGGCATCCATACTCCGTGGATGAAGTTATTGCATTTGCCTGATGCTCTCCGGGTGGTGGAATCCAACTGCGCTGCCTTGAGTTTCTCATTTTTCTCAGCGCGGCACTGGCATGATGTTTTGGAGCAGCAGCGAAATCCTCAAACAGCTGAAAGCTACAGGGGCTCTAGCTTCATGCATAGAAGTGGGCGTGTTTACAACAGCAAATCAGTGTAGCAGGGTGCTGTTGGTGTGCTTGACTGTTGCGGGAGGTGCCGCCGATGATCTTGATGTTGAGGGGCCGCTGGTGGCAGGGACTTGCAGGGTGTTGTTGTTGTTGGGGGGGAAAAGGGGCAGGGACTTGCAGGGCGGTGTTGTTGGGGGTGCAGGCCCAGAAAATGCCCTTGGGCCTGTTCCGGTGCCCCGAAACAGGTTTTCGCAAACAGTAGCTCTTTTTTTCGTCGACTTTATTTCCCTCGCCAAGCGCGCTGACTTGGACACTTATTTTGCTGTTGTTACCGTAAGTCGTGCGCAAGATGACGCAGGAGCTTTGTGCTTGTAAAGGAGGCTAAGCAGTAAGGCTCGGGCTTTGGCGGCCATGACTCGCTGCGGGCAACGCCAGCTGGAACGAAGTCACTCACGCGTTCCCGGCTATTTCGGGTCTATGCCGGTATAATTTTTGGGGAGCCGTGAGTACAACATGTGAACACAGAGAAGGTCACGTGCAACATCTACCAAAACTCGGGCCCCCTGAGAAGCATACTTATTAGTCCTGGCTGGGATATGAAGGAAAGCAAGCACCTTGACTGCTATTGGGTTGGATCTTTAGACTGGAACTTTTTCGGAAATGAAGGGGTTTTCCACCAAACCCACAAAAAGTTAAACTTTTTGCAGAGGGGTCAACAGCAACAAAGGCACGAACAATGTGTCAACTTGAAGTCTCACCATGCACAAGCTCATTTTTTGACCTGACACTGAACAAACACAGCAGCCTTTGCGACTGCACTCAGACCTCTCGTTTTTTTTTCTTTTCTTTTTTTCTCATCCTGCTTTGAACCGGCTTCCCCGCAGTCCTCTTCAATCTCTTTGTGTATTTTTGCATTGTTTACTTCTTGGGCAATGCTTACCGCAAGGGGAGTGATACTTGAAAGGAGGTGCGGGTGGCGCTGTGCAGCGGCGCCACTGCTGAGCTCCCGCTCCAGCACCTGGAGGACGGGCGGAGGCGACTGGCCATCCAAGACTCTCCCGCAAGCAGAATAGCCGAACAAATGAGACTCACGGGGCGCTTGAAGCCTGGAGCTGGAAGCCTCCACGTGTTTGCAGGTGGGATTCTTGCATCGTTGGGACGTAAAATAGGATACATGCGTTCTACTTGCTACTTACACATGCACCAGTATGTTGGATCGTCCATTCGTAGGCTGCATTGAGTCTAGACTACCTGCAAGGAGGAGCATGTGAGCATGATGCGCCAGCGAACAAGTACCTTTTGTTAGTCTGCATCAATCACACAGGTCAGAAGGCGCACTATCACGCGCAAGGATCGGGTAGAGAAGTCGCTTTGACCCGCAAGGGGGCTCACACTGCTGCAAGTGAATGGTGTGAGGGGAGGCAGAACTGTCTCTAACATGGACGTTTGGTTTCCCAACACGGACTTGTAAGTTCAAGAGGCAAACAATGGATGCACTGGTGCCAAATTGAAGTGGTTCTAAGACTGAAGTTCTATGTCATGCTGAGCGTTAAACTTGCTGAGCCAAGTCAAGAGCTCCTGGTTGTTTTGTGCCTTGTCTTTTGCAGGCGTTCACTGGAGAAAATTAGCATCCTTGCTGCAGTAGGCGCTGGACCTGCCCTGTAAAATCTTTGCCAAAACATACCTCCTGTTCTCTGTCTCTCTCTCTCTCTCTCTTTCTCTGCATGTGTGTTTTGACGAAATCACCAAGAGAGCCCTTCAATTCAAGCAACATGTCAGTTGTCTTCAAAGAAGCACATCCGCCACAAGCCCAAGCTCATCTCTGGCGCTTCTGTGCTTAACATCTATATCATGTCGTGGCTTGCGAAAGCGGTGCAGAACCATTGAAGCAGTTGCACAGCACCCATGCCTTTTGTACTTTTCTGATGCCCAGCTGCTCAGGAGCCCGCGAATCTTTGCCTTTGGCAGCCCAAAGCAGCTGCACTGCAGTGGGCCAGCCAGGCCCTGGAAAACCAAAGAGCAGTTTTGGAGCAGCTTGGACGACGAACTTGTGACATTGGAGCAGGTTTATGCATCGAGTGAATTATTTGGCGCCGATTTGGATCACCAATGGCACTAATCAGTTTGACTTCGGGATGCAAATGGATGTGCGATAGCAACTTTTTGCAAGCGTGCTTTACACACTTAAACTCCAAAAGGAGAGTGCTAATCTTTCGAGTACAACTGATGAGTCTCGAGTACAACTGATGAGTCTCGAGTATGGTGAGATTCGACTCGCACAACACGTGGCTTCCCTGTAGTTACTTTAAAAGGGGGCACACAGAAGCAACGGCGGTTCAGGGAGGGGACCAAAAGGACATTCACAAACATCACAACGGCAGGTACGTCCAACGGCGTCCCGTTGGATTTCACCAGCAAAGAAGGGCGTCTTCATTGGCGCAGGTCCCTTCAATGCTGCCCGCGCCCCCTGCTGAGAAACCGAAAAGGTGGTGACAGGGCATTCTGTCACTCCGCACACACACGCCCCTCAATGAGGGGCGAGGAGTCTCCTTTTCTGCAGGAAGATCACATGCTCAACCCCGTGTCCCTATCGTTGACCAAAATATCCACCGCGGCGAGGGGAGCGAGAAACAGCCCTAAAACGCTCAGAAGACGGGAACGAGAGGTCACCACGTTGAGCATTACGAGTGTCGCCATAGAGGACTGAAGCGAGTTGTGAAGCAGTCGAGCGATCACCATTAGAAAACGGAGTAGCATAGGTGAACGTCTCCTCAACTGGAATGGCATCGGAATTCCGAACTTCACCAAGAGATTGATCATGCGAATGATGAGTAGTGAAGGACTCCATTCGAGACAGAATGCGTTGGTATCCCTGATGCTGCCAGTCGCGGATGGTCCATGCCTGACCGTGCTCACCAGTGCGCCCATTGGGGTCAGTCACCCGCTGCCATTCCCGAAAAGAATTGTCTGGTAGCTCAGGTACAGTTTCTCCGTGGTGCCAACGCTGAGGCTGTCCTGCAGTGTAGATCCGCACCCACTCCTGATCCTGCCAGACTGAGTATTCGAGCCATGGGTGCTGCTTCGAATCCTCGATGTCCATGTCGAAGTAAGAGGCAAGGCGTATCGCGGGCTCTGATCCAGCTGATAAAGGAACAGGCACCATGCACAACCATGTACAAGCAACAACCAAGCAAAGTAATGCAAGTGTGAAAACCACCCTTATTTTGTACGCTGCCCCAGTCGCGTGAGTCTAGTCATCAGTTAGCTCGAAGATAGGTTTCGCCTTGGCTTTGCAGCTGTCGGGAGGATTAACAGGTCGGTATGGGTCAGAGACCCCAACAGTCTCCGATGGTGTGATTCCACGAGATGCACGTACAGGTTGATGTAGTTGGGAAGCGTGACGTGCGCGAACTGTCAGTTGATGAGAGATCCCTTCTTGGAGCCGAGTCAGATCTTCGGTAGAGAACATCCGAGGATCTAAGGATCGCTTCTAACATCTGCGGTGACACACTCAATGCCGCGGATTGCGTGGACACGCTGTGATGATCAGGAAAAGACATAGAATCAAAGTCATGACCAGCTTGAGGGGCAGCGACTCTCCGATAGCCCTCTGTGGCCCAGTCTCTTTTGTACCACATGGTGACATTGGGCTGCTCACCGTCTTGGTCCGGGTTTGGGGCATAGAACTCCTTCCACTCTCTATACGTGTGCGGTGGAGGTGGAGCATCATGTTCTTCATGTGGTGTCCATGATCCCGGATGAAAGATCTTGACCCACTGGGCATCTGGTTGTTGAGGATCCGGACACCATTCCAGCCACGGCATGACAACTCAAACCCGGAAAGACAAATTGATAGGTGTACGGCTGCAGACAACAATTACTGAAAGAGACACAACAACAACAGGGCAAGAAATCACTTTTGCAGCAATGCACGGCTCCGGTGTCGAAGTCAATCTCCTGAATCGAATTGAACTGAACAGACTCCCCAGGAAGGCGATGACGAGCATCAGCCACCATCCGAGTTGGAGGATGCCGACGAAGAGGTCAATCCAGCGTACATGAGGTCCGGTGCGCCCGAAGCGAAAAATGGCCGCGCAATGCTAGGGTGTGGACGACCCAGCCGTTGGTATCCCCTGGTGACCCAGTCTCGGTAGTGCCAAGTATAGAAGGATGCATAAGAGACTGGCTGCGAAACAGTACCTGTATTGGTGCCGCCTGTGCTATCCCTCGGCCAATACACTTCGAAGTGGTAAACTTTGCGCCACTCCCGATAGGTGGTTGAGTCATCCGGGGCTGGTCCCAAGGTGTTCTCGGCGACTGGATGCCATGGACCCGGTACACAGATCCGAATCCATTCAACACTCGTATTCGCGGGGCCATTGACATTGTCGTAGTCAAAGTAGCGAGGCAGGACCCATCGTGCTGCGCCACACATTGTACAATTGAACATATCAACCAGGCAAGCCGCTCGAAGTCAAATGAAAGCGGCGAACAAATGGAGACGGAACGCACAACACCAAGCAAGACAACTCAACATGGAATCGCACACAGAGCAAGCACAACCGCGTCATTTTATCCGACATGTTGCCCAAGTATCACTCCGAATCGTTCCAAGGATCATAGAATGGTGGTGGTGACGGCTCTCGCCACGCCCCATCCGGAACCGATGAGTCCACCGAGGAATTGGCGTCTGCATTCACGAGCGTCGCGGGTCCAATGGCTGGTAGAGGAGCTCCAAGTCGTTGATACCCTCGTGTTTGCCAGTCTCGGTACTCCCACGCGTGGTAGGACACATACGAACTGGGCGTGACAATGGGTTCCGCTGTTGTTCCTCCGGTGCTGTCTTCGGACCAGTACACTTGGAAGCGATATGACCTGCGCCACTCCCGATAGGTGGAAGCGTAGACCGGGGCGAGCGCTGGAGCATCATCGGGAACGGGTCGCCACGTGCCCGGTGAGTAAATTCGAATCCACTCCACTCCTCTGTCGATCTGGTACTCGAAATATTGAGGGTTCATAGCGGCAAGACGGGCTATCACGCGGCCGCTAAAAGTAATCGAAAATCTGCGGCGAAGACACACATGCAATGACAACCGCGCACAGCTGTAGTGGCAACCAAGGCAATGCAAGGCAACTTTTCAATCTCAAGGTGAGACACAGCAGCGAGGTTTGTAATATACGGCGCCTAAGCTTCACCGCCGTTGATGCCGCGCACACCTGCAATGATAATGTCCTGGTCGTCTACGAGCACAAGGGGAAAGACATTTCCGCCCATGGCGCTGAAAGGCATGACAGTAATGCTTGCAATTTGCCGATGGGGACAGCGATGAGCGAGCAGCGCGTTTGGAGGGGAACACGGTAAAGGGCCGCCGAGATCTCCGCGGTGCAGAAGCGGATGCTGTCCGAGATCGTTTGGATGAGCGCCCTGGACTGCGTAGCTCTTCATCACGGGAATGGTCAGTGCTGTAAATCGAGCGGCGTGTGCGCTGCGATTTCGATGTGGCAGGGCAGGATTGTCCGCGAGGAGCTGAGATCGAGGGGCTCCGCACTGAGGGCATAAACTGTGGGTGTAGAATCACCGGTGGTGGTGGTGGTGGAGGAGGCGGAGGTGGAAGAAGCAGTGGGAAACTTGGTGGGACCGGAGGTGACGTAGTCTGCCGAATGGGTCTGTCAAGCAGGGCACCAGGTCCGTGAAACTGTAACCACGTCGGCTGCGCTCCATGGGTCCAAGTAATGTACGTCTGTACGACCTGTTCCGACATGATTTGAGCAACTCAGTCATGCATTCAATCCAAGTCAGCGGCAACACCCACGACGGCAAGCAATATGACACTGGTTAAAATGCCAGTCTAGTGCAAGCGAGCAAATTTCATGTGACCAGTAATGACTGCAATCCCAACCGTCACAACACCCTGCAGCGCTAACCGAATACACCGCTACGGCCTACCATTTAGTCCTCCTGCGGTCGCTGGTGCATTTGATGACCGGGTTCCTAGCCGCGAGCCTCAAGTTGCTGGTAGACCTTCCACGCCTGCTTGACTTCCTCAATGGGCTTCTGAAGGAACCGAGCAATGGTTTTGTAGGTGGGCCTGGAATCTTTGTCTTTCTTCCGTCGCACCATCTCATCCAGCTCACCCTGTGTCCATGCCGTGAAAGGTTCATGGTGTGCATTGCGAAGTGCAATGGTGAATTCTTGCAGAAGTTCCCGAGGTCCATGAACCACTGTAGGAGACGGTCGGAACGACGAGGCTAAGGGAGCAAGCGGCCGTGGTGGTGGCAGGTGATCCAACATCGATTCAGGCCGACGACCAGAATTGTTGTCAGCGGCATCCCGATGTGTCTCACGAGGTGGGGATAAGGCCGGTATATACCAGGTGGATGAAGTGTCCAAAGGACGGGCTCGAATTCAAGTAGGAGAGCGGGATCGGTCAGACGAAATGCGCTCTGTGATGATGCGAGGGCGCAGCCCGTGCCTGGAGTTCCGTGGTGCCCTGGGAGACACTCTAGTGTCCGACGGATGGCTTCGCTCGGTTATCAGGGCGAAGTTCAGGGTGTCCAGAGCTGTCGCAACTTGGGATGCAAGGACATTGAGTACCGCCACCAGGTTATTCACAAACTCGGCGGACAACTGCATGGCAAATGAACACACAGCAAGGACAAATCAAGCAAGTAAGGCTGCGGAACTGCGAAGACATGATGCTTGCGGACATGCGTGCGCCGAAATACTGAGGTCCTTTTGCCGCTGGTGTTCCGTCAACGGTCATACGACAGACCTGATGGTCGACACGCCGGCATGGCCTTGACTGCCGGCGGGTACTTCGGATTGTAGGCATGGCGGCGGGACGTGGGAACCGCGTCGTCAGGTCGGCCAGGAGGTCGCCGGTGATGACTGCGAGATCGACGCCGATGAGGCTCCCGATGTCTGGACCTTCTCCTCCGTCTGTGCTCCCAGGAAGTACTGACACTCACCGTGCGGACGTGAGCAGGGTGCTCCGTACGGT